CCAACTGGCTTCATAACTTTTTGACCACGCTTTCCTCCCCGTGAAGGTTCTCCTAAATCCGGCGAAATGTTGGCATTGTGGTCTGGAGACCGAACGGATTCATTAATTTAAATATATTTTCTCTGTGATGATCATTTTCTTGTTATGTGCATTTTTTATCATTTTATATATACATCTTCTTGATTTGCCAAGTAGTGCGCTTTGTTTTTGCATCATCTGTGTCAGAGACTGGCTAATAGATGTTGCAGCTTTGTGGGGTGCAAATGCACGAATGACGCGATTTTTATGAAATTATTATTAAAACGACTCCGCTGTGCTCTCCTGTCGCCGTGGCCGTTGGTGGGTCAATTGTAATTCTGCAACGGCGTTCACCGTGGCACTTGCCAGGTTTTGTTCTGCATCCGTCCATGAGTGTCTATTTGTGGAAACAACCTTGGCTGTGGGGTCATTTGTGCTGAGCGCTGAGAAGCGAGCGAGCAGCGTCCAGGCCTCGACTGCCGCTGCTGCTACCGGACGTGCGCTGTCCTTAATCCGAGGTCTGCACCTGATTCGAGCAGTTGGGCAACTCTGGCTGGGTGCAACTTAAATCGCTTTCAGTGGACGTCTCTGCGATCATTTGCGCAACTTGGTTGTGTGCAGCTAATTCGCTTTTATGTAGTTGTTTCTCTGCAAGCACAGCCTCTCCGAAGCATTGATCTGTTTGGATATTTGTAGGGATGTTTATTTTTCGATTTAAAGCTTTCGTGACTGCAGGGATTGATCTTCTTGGTTCTTTCGGTAAAGTGACTTTACCGAAAGAACCAAGAAGGGGGGATGTTTATTATCACGTGACACACATAACAAAATATGATTGGTTGTTGCAATTCTGAACGTGCCGTTTATTTTACCTCTTTACACAACTCCTCGCTCGGCACGTGGACAAAGCAACTGTAGGTGATTTTTCTTTAAGTTGCGAGAGCGAATTGCTTGCGCAACAGATCCATTGGGCGTGGAGGCGACGTTTGCGTTTGGACGCCGCTCTGAGTGGAATGGTTCAAATGTCTGTCCACCCCTCCCTCCAGGAGTCCTCAAATATATGTCCTAGAAGAATGAGTTGACTGTCTAGCAATGTGAAGACCTTGAGCCAGATGGGAATGGTGACACTGTAAGGCTGTAAGCCATACGGAGGGATTCTGTAAGAGCAGACTTTGAAGGTCAGATGTCATTTTTGCAACAGCTGCAGGATCCTATAGGGGGTGATGAGGTCTGTGGGTGGTGAGGTGTAGTTGCATCACCCCCTTTGGCCCTGATGACCCCCTGACCTTGAAATAGCCTTAAGACTATATTTTGATAAATAAATAAAAACGCCACTTCAAATTTTCTTGCTGCGGATTTCACACCTGATGATGATTGCTTGTGTTGCAGTCGAAAGGTCGTGAGACTTTGTATTGTTTTATATATATATATATAATTATATTATTTCCCTTCTACATGACTTTACCGAAAGAACCAAGAATATGATGCCTTAAGACTGTTGAGGCAAGTGCCGTTGGTGAGCGCCTAATGAAGGCCTACACGGTATACAAGGGGGTGGGTGGCCAGCACCACGCCCCGCCACCTTTGGCTCCCGAGTAATGATCCGTACACATTTCAGGCCGAAGTCGACCCAGGACTGGTTCCGATTAATTGTCACTGGCGTTGGCTGTGAGCAGGAATCGAACTGTGGTCTCTGGATTTGTAGCTCCACGTGCTTGCAATGCAGAGGTCGCCGGTTCCATTCAGTCGCCGGTCACGGCAGTTGAAATAATGGTGCAAGGTTGTCAAGTCCCCACCCCTCCACTTTCTGTCCACTCGGCAGTATACATGAGTGTGTACACCCCTTCGAACACATCCGGCCAGTGTGGAAGAGTAGACCAACATTTCTTTGACGGAGCTCTATAGAGCTGCCTCGAGTGGGGAGGCCCTTCTGGCAGACGTGGCTTGAAAGCAATTGCAGGGCTGCACCTTTACCTGTTGTCATGAGTGTGATAATCAACGTGTGTGTGTTACACACCTGGAAAATTAGTCAAATCGAGTTATGCTCTCGTACGTGCTCGTGGACGTGTCTCCCAAGTCTTGTCAAGGTTAGAAATGTGTGTGTGTGTGTGCGCGCTGTTTGTTGTTAGTGAAGTGGAGCGTGTGATGGGTGCAGGAACGTGTTGAGGAGATGCCCAGGTCCCCCTCCCCTCCCGTGTATTGGTTCAACCCAGGTAACTGGAGGTGTCCCCTTTAAAAACAACTCAAAACAAGCTCGCGCAACCCCCTACCCCCACCACCCTGTTTATCGCATCCTCGACACTCCAACAATTGAGTTTCGTTGCTGTTTTAACTTAATTATCGTTATCATCAACCATCGTCAATCCACTGCTGGATGACGGCTCCCTATGCCGCCCCCGCCACCACCCAAATCTTGGAAGGATGAAATCCCCCACCAAGCACCCACCGCACGAGTCGATTCCATCGCTCCATCTCCTCGGTGGCCGAGCCAGCTACAATCCTGGTGATCCAAGTTCGGTACCAGGCCGTGCACATTGCCAGGTGGGAGGTTAAAAAGTGAACCTGGTGCAGACTTCCCCAGTGTCAACTCTGCCTGAGACGAGTTCTCTGTGGCGGTTAATACCAGCCGGGCATGGTGCTAACCGTCGCCACCACCGCCGCGTGTTCCTTGCCGGCCCTGATAGGCACTCTCTAATGGAACGTGACAGCCGCTGGTCCGTGAATCTAAACGGTGGATCTTTTATCTTCGTTTTTTAAAGTCTACGTGCGGGCAGGTTTGCGATGTCTCTGCGCGTTGGTGTTGCAGGAAGAGGATGGGGGGGGTGCAGTGCGAGTGCACGGGGAGAAGGGGGTTACGTGATGAAGGTCTTCGTCTCTTCGTCTTATCATATGGCTGATTGTAGATGCAGAGCAACAACTGCGATTTCACATTCAGGTGGTCAAGCCAGATAACCGCGTCGGGAGTAGCGTACGGCCGTGATGTCTCCTTCGTATTTGTGGATCGGGCATTGCGTCGTTATATGTTGAACGGTCTGTCCTGGACGACCACAGTCGCACACTGGAGAGTTTTAATTTTCCATTTGTCCAATTCTATTCTGTTTTCTAGCGCCCTTTCATGGATTGTATAAATGCGGTTTGGGGTGGACCCCAGGGATCCTTCTGCATTGGGTCTTTCACAACACAAAGTGTTTGAGGTCTTCTTGAACTTCATTCAGCTCTCCGAGCCTCAGCGGGGTCGAACTCGCATGGTGAAGGCGGTGGAACTTTTAAAGCGTCGCTGCCTGTCGCACTCGCCAAGCGTGCCATGCTTCGGATCCAACCTCGCTTATCCCCCCCCCCTCTAACTCGTGCACTCACCTCCAGTGGTAATTGAAATTATCATTGCATATCTAGTCGCAGTCGGTTTGGTCGACGACAAGTTGGAATTTTGAAGCTTTCGTGACTGCAGGGATCCATACTCTTTGGTTCTTTTGGTAAAGTCACGTAGGCAGAAAATAAAATAAATCACGACGTTTCGGGCGCAACACAAGCGTCCATCATCGGGTGGAATTTTGAGGTCAAGTCTTGCTCTGTCGTGGATTTAGATTTCATTGTTCACTTGGTATCGTCGATTTAACGCAACCTGGTCAATTGCATTCTCTCTTGGTCCATGTTATGGAATTGTATTCTCATCCACATGGTAAGAATTCACTAACTCAAACGGTAACCCGAAGTCATTTTATACTATTCACCGTCTTGGTGGGTTCTGGCTCGTCAAGTAGTAAATTAAAAGGACGAGCGTTTTTTCCCGTTTATAAAAATAATATTTAGTCTGTAAGCTGCAGGACATTTGGACAAACCAGTGTTCCGTTTCTGATAGCCCAATGAAGTGGTTTATACAGGTAGGAACAACAGTTCCACACTGCCCACCCAAACATGTACGCTCCCGGATTGGTTGAAGTGCGTCATGTGACCGCGAGCTTTCTGTCGTGCACGAATGCGCTGTCTGTCCAACCAAGTTCCTACCTGCCCACTCCGAAGGAACGTGTTCGTGTGGAAATGTACCGCAGACAATTACTCAACGTGTGTTTCTAAATGTGGAGGGGAAAATACCGTGCGAGTGCACGGGATGAACATGCAAACTCCAAATATACAGCAGGTGTCAGGGTTGAGATGTAACCCACGACCTCCTGCATACCAGGCGAGGTAGTTAACATCTCGCCACTGTTGGTTGTTAAAAGATGGCTTGCACATGATGTCGTGCGTGTTATTGTAAGAAGATTGTCTTACTGCATTATATGATTTTGCATCAAACCAGGACTCGTTGTAAAGAGAGAAGGTCGATGTCTGTGAGATTGGCAGTTCACCTTCATGGATTCAAGCAAGCTCGACTGCTCGCGAGATACTGTAATGTTGAAATAAATCCAGTGTTTGCTTGTATTGGATCAAGGCTTCTGATATGTAATCCTAGAAGGCTTTGCAGCTGATGGATTGTGTAAGAAATGCTTTTTACGTGGCGAGGCAGAAATATGAAGGGGCAATTGTTTGTTTATTTTGCCATCTCTTTAAAGAGCCTATTCATCTGAACTAATGGATCGTTACTTGCCTCGTAACCATTATTCACTTAGAATCCATTCCTATCCCGCCATTTACGTCCATCAAATTGTGACGGGGGTGGGGGGGGGGAGGAATCCACTCTGATCTTGCTACTTATATAAATTATGCCGAGGGAACAATCTATACGGGAGGGAACAAACGAAATCTGAACCTTCGAAAGACCCGACACAAATTAGTCGGCAGAAGCGACCTACGGCAAAAATTAACTCCCAAACAAATCCTGACCCCCCCCCCCCTCCGACAAAGAATAATCTCGTGGAAATCTCGTTGAATCGCACTGGTGACGAACCGCCACACGCCAGGTGAACGGGTTGCCTGCAGACGGTGACGCTGACGGGGTGGTGGTTGCCACCACGTGGTTTTTGCGTGTGCGTGTGCCCGGGCTGCAGGACTCTATGGCGCCTTCCCTGCGCACGTGCTACCGCTATCTCAACCAGACGAGCCGCTCCTTCGCCGCCGTCATTCAAGCGCTGGACGGGGAGCTCAGGTGATCAGCCGTGGTTTTTGTGGGCCAGAGCCGCGGGTGGCAAACGCCGGAGTCTGTTTCATCGTTTGTTCGTTCACGCTCTAGTTCATTCGCGGGCGGCTTGGTTTTTTAAAAGAGCTAACGGAGAACGGAAACAACTATCCTCCGTATTTAGCCTTGACAGACTGTTGGGGCAAGTGCTGTTAGCGAGCACCTAATGAAGTCTGGCACGGCACAAGAGTGGGTGGGTGGCCAGCATCATGCCCGTCCGCCTTTGTCTCCCTCGTAGGGTCAAAATGTACATGTTGCACCAGGTATTCATTTGAGGCTGAATCGACCGTACAGGATGAGGAAGGTACAACGCCACCCGCAACGTCTGCCAACGAGTCTGCGGCTCGAGGATTGGACTCCTTGAGATCCTGGGTTTGAATCCAGGTTGAAGCCTCGCAAGGGTTGCATAGAAGTTTTATAAACATGGCTAATAAACAACTATCAAGAAGATAATTGTTTTTTTACCCTTCTATCTGGCAACAAAACTGACACCTTTTTTTACAAGGAGTCATGTGTACATAGACCACAATACCTGCATTATGACTGCAGGTATTGTGGTAAACATTACTCCTTGTAAAAAAGGTGTCAGTTTTGTTGCCAGATAGAAGGGTAAAAAAACAATTATCATTTTTACTGGCAAATGAGGTTCCAATGGTGTAAAAAACTATCAAGAAGGTTGCTATGTTCTTTTGGGTATTTAGGCACCCCCACTTCTCCCCTTCGCCACCCCTCCCCCCCGAGGGTTATTCCATTCCCTCGAGAGTTATCGGAGTTATGGAAGACGACACCAGGGATGCAGAGTTTATTTAAACGCGCTGCATAGGCTGGTTCAAAATATAAAACGCCGAGTGATTAATCGTTGTAATTCCAATTGCGTCTATACTGCTGTCAATTCCCATACATCATGCCCCCTCTGTGCATCTGATTCGTTTGTTCAAGAAAATACTTCTGGGGAATAAAAAGGCTCTACGTAACTAATAAAATGGGAGGACTTTCATCATATTCGTAATAAACGTTTTTGGGTTAGATCGCGTTATTTATAAATGTGGTAACCCTTCCACCACCCGACACGGCCAATCAGCAAAAAAGTGTCACGTTGACAAAAGTGAAATCGTTCACTAGCTTTAGCCGACCGGTGTGTTGAAGAGTGAAACCACAACATTTCCAATATTTGAGTACGACGTTTCGCTGGTAATTGCATCCAGCATCATCAGGCAATTCGCCAGAATGGTGAAGCCCTCACTTGCTCCCAGTCTTAAATAGAGCAGCAGCAGGGTGGACGTCATCATTTAACTCATTCATGGTGCGACAATTCTGGTTAGTCGGCTGATGAGGCTGGTTTGTAATCGCCAGCAAAACGTCGTACTCCGTGTTAAACGTTGTGGGTTTACTCTCCCAACACACAACCGGTGGAGCTGAAGCGGTAACCAATTGGCACGTTTTGTTGACGTGACAAACTCTGTTGGTAGCGGGTTTAACGACACAAGTATTTTCGATCTAACCTAAAAACCTTTTTATTGTGGGTTATATTGGTCGCGAAAGCTGACGTGTTAAACTGAATACACGCACGCGTACTGCATAGCTGTCAACCCACACGGTTGTTCACCCGTATTCTTAGTACAGGGAAATTGAGATTTCGGGTCCATACGGCGTACAGCCAGTTTCAAGACGTGCAAAAAAAATGTTTAGTCTTATTGGTTTGTGTTTCTCCCTTCTGATTGGTATTTGTAGGATGAACTGTTGAGATTTATAAGGGAACGTGGAGCCCAATAAGGTCTGACTTGGTCTGTAATAAGGTAGGGCACTGATAAGGGATAGGCACTGCTTGTTTACGACGCGGACCGGAATCGTGGACGTTGATGAACACAATGTTTACCGACCGCCGCGTGGGGGTGTCGCGCAGGGACGCCGTGTGCATCTTCTACCTCGTGCTGCGGGCGCTGGACACGGTGGAGGACGACATGACGATCCCCAACGCCGCCAAGGTGCCCATGCTGCGCGACTTCCACAGCTTCCTGTACCAGCACGAGTGGAGCTACTCGCTGAGCAACGAGAAGGACCGCCAGGTCCTGGAGGACTTCCCTACGGTGAGCAAAGCGCGGTGGCGCGCGCCTGTTTGACAAATTTGTTAGTTCATTAATTCATTCGTTAGTAGGTTTTGGTGTTCGCGTTGTTCTTATAGTGCAGGACGATCGCGAAGACGTTACATTTCGTGGACGGTCTACAGTTGGCCCTTGTCCAGAGCCGAGCTACTGCAGGGCTGAGCCTTTATCTTTATGCTGCCCGGAACAGATCTCGCTGGAGTTCCGCAAGCTGGCCAAGATTTACCGGGATGTCATTGGCGACATCTGCCAGCGCATGGGAGCGGGCATGGCTGAAGTGCTACAGAAGAAAGTGGGCTCCATGCAGGAATGGGATCAGGTACGCGCAGATGTTCTCTTCGGTTACACACGTGTGTGTGTGCGCGCTGTGAACTTGGCGACCAGAGTTCGATTCCCGCTCACGACTTAAATGTCTGAACCGGTCTTGAGCCTCCCTATCGTCAACTCGGCCATAAATCAACATACCTGGTGCAGAGTGTATTAAGCATCCGCACTTGGAAGACGAAGGCTGCAAGGTGTGGTGCAAGCCACACGACCGTCTCGTGTGCCGTGCCGGCGTTCATGGGTGCTCGCTAACAGCACATGCCCCCATCGGTCTGTTGAAGCTATACGTGGGGATGGGGTGGAATATTTTGTCTTTGTGCGCAGTACTGTCACTACGTGGCGGGCCTGGTGGGGATCGGGCTGTCGCGGCTGTTTGCGGCGTCGGGTCTCGAGGACGTGGTGGTGGGAGAGGACGCGGCGCTCGCCAACTCCATGGGGCTCTTCCTGCAGAAGACCAACATCATCCGAGATTACCTGGAGGATACTCGCGACCGCAGGGAGTTCTGGCCTCAGGAGGTACGTCGCCCCACGCAACCCCCACGCAACCCCCACGCAACCCCCACGCAACCCCCACGCAACCCCCACGCAACCCCCACGCAACCCCCACGCAACCCCCACGCAACCCCCACGCAACCCCCACGCAACCCCCACGCGTTGTGGGCTCTTCACCGCACACGGTGCCTGGCTTTGTCTCTGGGGGGCCGTGATGCGCCGGGACAATTGCAGGACTACCCTTGCTGTGCAAGCATTGCTGGCGGTGCGTGTTCTGTTATCCAAGGCAATGATTTTGGCACACGGTGGTTTTTGGTAAAAAAAAAAATACGGCTGATGGGTGGAGGAAATTAAAATATTCACGGAATAATGTGTGGGGGGGGGTCCCCCTCCTTCCTTGCCACACCCTGGCGCGGTGTGTAAACATCGCCGCTCGAGAGACGGACAGCCGAGCGTGGTGCTGGCCACGCACTCCCCCGTGTGCCGTGGTGGCAGCCTTCATAGCAGCACTTCCCTCCCCCAAAAGTCTGTTTAGGCTATACGGGGGATCTTTGTCTTGTGCCCCGCGCGACCGACGACAGGCGTGGAGCAAATACGCGGGGAGCCTGTCGGACTTGGCACGCCCTGAGAACCTGTGCGCGGCCGTGGGCTGCCTCAACGAGCTGGTGACCAACGCGCTGGGCCACGTGCCAGACGTGCTCACCTACCTGTCGCGCCTGCGCAACCAGAGCGTCTTCAACTTCTGCGCCATCCCCCAGGCAAGAGCTCGTCTCCACGGAGATCCCACACCACCCACACACCATTCTTCCCCGAGTTCAATTCCCGGCCATGGGCGATATCGGTATGAGCCCCATTCACGCACAACACTAGAACATGTGCCTCCCCCGCCCCCTCCAAAGACAGACAAAGATCCCCCGATTTAGCATGTAACAGACTGTAGGAGCAAGTGCTGTGAGCGAGCACCGATGAAGGCCAGGGGGTTGAGTGGCCAGCACCACGCCCGGCCTCCTTTGTCTCCCTAGTGGCAATATTTATACACCGCATCAGGTACTCATTTGAGGCTGAGTCTACCTAGTAGAGGCCCAGGACCAGTTCAGATAATTGTCACTTGCTGGCCGTGAGCGGGAATTGAACCCAGGTCGCCAGGTTCGCAGCGCAGCGCACTAACTGCGACACTTCCGCTCCCCTGCACCACCCCCACTCCATCCGTTCAAGAACCCGTACTGAGCGAGGGGGTCAAGTATGGTCAAATAAACCGCGCGATCCGGATTGACAAAAGGCTGCGAATGATGATTATGATGAGAGATTTATGGAGTTGCTTGTTGAATAAGAAAAAAAAGACTTTACACATTCGTCAATAACACCGTGGCCTTAAAGGGAAAATGTATAATGGGCAACGTTTCCTGCAATGAATAGGCCTTCTTCATCACAGATACATTTTATGTTCCATGAAGGTCTCTCTAAGTAATGCCACAGTTGTTATTGACAAATGCGAGTTGTGGGTTTTTTTTTCTTGCGTGCCACTGCCAACGCGACAGCGTCGCCAAACAATTTTTTGGTTAAGAGAGATTTAGCGAAATACGTTAAAATCGCCAGCGGTGGTCACGAGAGGCATACAACAGTACGTCTGTGTTTGCCGCTGATTTAAAACCAACTGCTGCATTTCAAGCGCGCGCATTGAGTCGTGCGCATGTGAATCATTGTTTCCAATTTGTGCACATTGTAAGCACGTGGTCTGCTCGTGTCGTTACGTGTAAGGTTCACGGAGCAAACAAGACTTGCAAATAGAGGGAGCATATGGGGAGAAGATACAAATTACGTGATAAACAGTGAAGCCAAAGAGACTAAACTTGATTCTAATCTTAACTGTGGATTTTGACCGTCAAATCGCTGGCCGAGAGAATTTTGACGTGCCTGCTGTCCCAAGTGATCTGAAATACAACGAACACACATTCCTCTCTGTCAAGTTATTGCAGTTGTATTCGTGCACTAATTCGCGTGTTACAAAGCGATCCTCAAACTCGCTTTGCATGCATCGAACTGTGGCACAAGCGGGACTGTGCAAGCGAGACGTGGTAAATGAATACGGTACAGGTGAGACGTCAGAAACGTACCTGAATCTAACCGCGAGCCCCAAATTAGTCACCCCGTCAAATTTGGCTCTCCTTGTGTATACCACCCTAACCAAAACTACAAATCCTCGAGGATTCTGCGCTCCCAAATACTCTTCATTCACTCGCTCCCTCTGCCTGGGCACGATCGGACCGGTGTCACACATGTGGTGGCCCCTGACGCGGGGGGGGGGGGGGGGTCAGTTCTTGCGCACGGAAAATCGGGTTCATATCGCCCGTAATGACGAACAAAATCTACCCCTTCTCAAGTCAACCTCCCTCCGTATTTTAGTTCTAAAGCGGCAGAGATAAAAATGCGGTGTAATTTCAGGCGCAGCATGAACCGACCCATGCGGGGGGTATAAAGTTTCATCTCATAAAAATTGGCTGTTCTGGCCATAACAACAAAAGCCAGCCCACTGTAAGTGCGCACAGCAGCCGCTGATAAGGAGGTGAATATGGGAGAGCCGGGCGGGTTTCGGCGGCGTGTCGCTGGAGGGTGCGAGACACCGCTCGTATTCCCCTGGGTAATTAACTCGCAGGCCTGACCCGAGTGTCGGTGACGGGTCAAGTGTTGACGGACGCTGCGTTTGTGCTCTTTATCTGCTCATCGCTCCCCTCCGCATCTGCTGTCTGACCGGCCGTTTGATTTGTCCGAAAATATTGGCCCTTTCCTCCCCCCCCCCCCCCCCCTCTCGCACGTAGGTCCGTGCAATAATCCCGCCTAAACCTGTCTGCTCCGCTGCAGGGTTATTAAGGAAAACATGTGGAACTTGGAGATAGGGGTTCTCGTTTTGATGTTAGCGGGCAGGAATGTTCACGCGTTTGAGTTGTGGGTGGCGGAGTGCGCACGCTTTATTTTGCCAGGCCCACTGAGCTATACAGCTCTTTCAAAAGCAAACCTGAATGATGGCACAAGCACAACGAATTGGTCTATCATGTAAACATTTAGCGCAGCCAAATACGCTAAACGCACATTGATTCAAAATGTGTAGAGAAAAAACTGGAGGCCCTGGGGAAAAATTCACATCCCCACGGGGAGAACATGCAAACTCCAAATACACAGGCTTCAGGGTTGGGATCGAACCCACGACCTCTGGTATACCAGGCGAGGGAGTTAACATCTCGCCACCGTGGCGCCCCACACGTGCTAGTCATGGCGAGGGTGTTGCACAAGGCAGTCCTCCGTTCTGTGAGACCAATCAATAATTTTAAATGTAGTTTGTAACACGCACGGTGATTGTTCACTGTCGAGGGATGTGATAATAATTTAGATGTGCGGGGAATCTGCAGCGAGTCGGCCACAACCAGCGCCAGCAATTGCCCAAGTTCTGCGGTCCTAGTCAAGGGACGTTTGTCAACTCGAATGAGTGTCTACACATCAGGGCGAAACCAGAGTACTTGGGAGTCCATAGGTATGGGGGGGGGGGGGGGGGGTGGACGACACACTATCCCTGTACAGATGTATTTGTTGGTTTCTCAGCCCGTTTGTCCTGGTGAGGGTCTTGTATTAATCTTCAACCTACTTTCTGTACTGCCATAATACCCTGGCAAGCCAGGAGATGGCGACCGCGACGCCCAACTGTCAGGGCGCAAGTTTCTCACGGGTTTGTGTGACCCACGAACCCAACCCAGGCGTTGGAGCATTACCGCCAGCAAAACAAAAATCTCAAGACTTCTGCTCAGCGTCTTGAGAAGGCGGCCGCATTTTAGACGACTAGAAACACCCCGACGTTTGTTGTACATCTCTGGCGGAGGGCGATGGTGAATCGGAGCCACGTTCTCGCGTCCCCATTGGTGACCGCCGCGCACCTCCTTGTGGACACACGAGGATCTGCACTCGCGCTGCGCGAAAGGAACTGACCGTCCGTGTGTGTTTTAATCACGGTTGCAAAGCACGCCCCCCCCCCCCACCAAGCCTCAAAAAGCCAAGTCGTCGGCAACAACTGTTTTTTGTGTTTAGCTTGTTTCCCTTCGCCTCTGCCCGTACCAGCGATTTGGAATAGTTGGCAAGGCACTGTGCGAAGAAGTTCAACATGCATGCATACATACAACACACCGGCACTGTGAAGGTGGTAATAGGTTTCTTGAACTGAGCAAGGTTTATGTGATCCAGCGAAAAAGAGACACTTGGGGGTAATTGCAGAGTGGAGCGGTGCGAGGGGAACAAAGCTGAAAGAGAAGCGAGGTGGTGACCTGCAGTGTGGTGGCCGAACACGTTGTGGATGAGATGAAATAGTCTGGGGCAGGCAGAGCTGGGTCGACGTGAGTAGAGGAATCGACGCGTGACGCATTGTTATTAGCAAAGCAAGAGTGCTCAGCAGGCGACTGACTTCCGGTGTGCGGTGACTGCTGAATTGTCGGTCAACCTAACGGTTGTGAATTCTGTGCACTAGTGAGGCGTGAACTGGCTGTTCCACCCGAGATATGACAACATTGGCCAAATTTGTGCTTTGTAATATCGAACTAATTCGGAGTTGGAAAGCTTTAGCACAGAAAAGGAAAGCCCGCTTTGTCCACGTCTCTTTCGCCAGATGATTAATATAGCCGTTCCGTGACGGGTCGGCCGAGGTGGTTGTGCCGAGCAGATTAACTTTATAGCCCGCGGCTAAAATTAACACGCGCGCGTGCCTGTGTGCGTGCTCGCGCTCTGCACCGGCAGGTGATGGCGATCGCCACGCTGTCCGCCTGCTACAACAACCCGGCGGTGTTTGGCGGCGTCGTGAAGATCCGCAAGGGCCAGGCGGTCACGCTCATGATGGACGCTACGAGCCTGGCGTCGGTGCGCGCCATGATGCTGCAGTACGCACAGGAGGTGAGGTGGGCGGGCTTGGGCAGTGTTCAGAATCCCAATATTCAGTTTCTACTGGAGGAATCCGATGCGCTATAAAGCTCTATTTTGCAGATGTCCACTAAGGGCGGGTCAGAACGTCACGACGACAAGCAATACAAGAACACGATAGGAGTGCAAAGTGTAGGAAAGGTGACGTGGTGGCCTGACACGTAGTGCGCATGCTGCCGATTGCAGAGGCGCGCAGTTCATGCCGAGCGGCTACCCCGGTTAAACTTAATACAGTAAAGCCTTGGATTGCGAGCATAATTCGTTCCGGAAACGTGTTTGTAATCCAAAGCACTCGTATATCAAAGCACTCGTATATCAGTTGTGATCACGTGATGCTCGGCAGACAAAGCGCATACGTACTACTCGCATTGCAAGACCTCGCTCGTTTATCTAATTAATATTTATTAAAAAAATTTGCTCGTCTTGCAAAACACTCGCAATCCAAATTACTCGCAATCCAAGGTTTTACTGTACTTCCGTTGGAGTAACCGTAAAAATACCAGTTTAACACGTAGGCTTTCACGACCAATATTATTCATGAATTGTAAATGTTGTGGATTCACTCTTCGACACACCGGTGGGCTAAAGTAGTGAACTATTTGTCTTTTGTCAACGTGACACTATTTTTACTGATTGGCCGTGTCGGGTGGTGGAGGGTTACGACACATAAATAACGCGATCTAACCCAAAAACGTTTATTTTGAACGTAAAAATACCAATCGCCATTTACTGCACGGTGGACGTTAAAGGATCCCGTGACGCTATTCGTAAAAGAGTAGGCCATGCGTGTCGGCGTCGTGGTGATGACCGACTGTCCGCCAAGGAGCCAAGTGCGTCTATAACAAGATTAAATTGGCCAGTCTGAATGAAAGACGCAGACGGTAATTTTTTTAAATTTCTGAAATGCTCCCTCAGCCTTTGTCCCCATGCAACAGTATAAATGGGATCATCACCGTTGAATGATTAGCACAGGGGTGGGGGAACCTTTTTCTGCCAAGGGCCGTTTGGATATTTATAACATCATTTGCGGGCCATACAAAATTATCAACTTAAACATTAGCCTGTTATATTTCATCAAACATTTAATTAACTCGCCCCTAATGTGATGGCTGGAACAGACTAATTAATTTGCGGGCCTTATACAGCCCCGGGCCTTGATTAGCAGGTGGCGTGTCGTGGGATGAAGTGGGTAGATGGGCCAGCGTGGAAGTTGTAGGGTTTCTAGAGTGGGCCCCCCCCTCCTACAGCTCCCTTGGGTGGAAGCCCTTCTGCTAGCAATGGCGTGAGCAGGTAATTGCAGGGTTGCGCCTTTTTACTTTCATTACCTTTCACCTCATCGGAGATCTGTGCAGCTGCAACCGCGTAAACCTCCGTGGGTAGCCACGCATAACGTCGCTTCGCCCACAGATCCAGCGCTGCATCCCGCCCGACGACCCTTCGGCAACCCAGACGCGCAACATCGTGCTGCGCATCAAGGCCATGTCGCGCGCGGGCGCATCGTCGTCGGCAGGCGGTGGCGACAGCGGCGACGCGCAGGAGGAAGAGGAGGTTAACGGCCGCCATCAGGGGACTGGCTTCATATCGCCGCTGAGCCTCACCATGGGAATGGTTCTGGCCGCGTTGGGCTGGCAGTACTGGGCCACGGTGCAGGGGGTCGCTGCCAAGTACCTGCAGGGCCTGTGATGATGACAACGATTGCCCCCTCCGTCTTTGAACTGGTGGACCTCCTCGATGCGCCCAGCCAATCTGTAAATATATATCCCAAGCGCCCTGCCCGTACCATTGCTGTGACCACTGGTGATTCACGTTGCGTTTTTGAGAAATGCCCCTTCTCCCCCTTCCGAGAATTTGTTCCAAATGAAAAAGGTTGTCGTGATGGAAGCGGGGTGGCCTCCCTACGTCCGTGTAGGAAGGCGCGCACGCATGGCGGCTGATGGGGTTGTGCTTCTGCGCAGGGTTGTGGTTGTTGATATCCCTCTCGCAACCCCATGTTGGAAAAACCCTGGCTTTGCTTCTCGGTGTCGTGCACGTGTCGCGTCTTAACAGGGAGGCGAGCGGCAATGGGATTAGAAGTGCCGCAATATTTGTAGAAAGTGATGCGTTTGCTGGTGGGGAGGAAGTAGTTCTCTTGGCTGCCAGTTAGTGGCAGTTGAATTGCGCGGAAGTGGACGAATAAATACGTAAGATCCGTGCAGACTTTTAACTGATTGAGGGTGCTTCGCTGTCGTGTTAGTTTAAGAAACGTTTTAAATGTTTACAGACGACATGAGAAAAATTGGCAAACCACGTGGTTTCCAGTTGACCGCACAAATGACTTGGCCAGCTCAAGCCAGTCCGCGTCGTGTTCATTCTGAAGTGGTGTCGTGTTTGTCTCTTTGCGTTTGTTGCTTAATCTCGGGCGCTGTGGCTCGCTTGACCCCCTCTCCCTGTTGAGGCTTTGTACCATATCTGGAGCGCAACGACGGGGCTAGTCGCGTGTAAATTAACGACAGTAGAAATTATAAACAACTAAATATTTCTACGCTGTGCTTTTGCAGGTGGTAACTTCTATTAAAAAAAAGTTGACTATAAAACTGCAAGCTCTCCCCATGGGGGTCGGTCGTTACTTTAAAATGGGGCGAGCAATCTCTGATTTTAACGCGACGATTTGAACGAAATAAAGTATGACGATTATGACAATAAAGAATATTTTTGGTATGACATGTTTGCTGGTTTTATGTGCTCGAATAAATCTGAACACACGGCAATTAATGACCATCGTTTGAATATTTGAAGTTGTTAGCTGTGCTTGGCTGCAATTGGGGTAGAGTTCTGTGGCTCAATCCTCCGTTTTACCCTTCCAATTGAATTGGCAAAGTCCACATGGTTGTATATTACCGCCATTTGCAAAGTAATCTACAAACAGTGCAGTCCCATGGTTCCAGACAAGATATCACGCGCTTATCGCTACCACCTGATGTGGTGTCACTTTCTGTGGTTAATTTATGTGGCCAACGGTGAATTGTGATAACCGTGTGTGAAATGAGTGGGGGGGGGGGGTACCATATCATTACCTGGTATTCGCTGCGTACGTAAACTTGCACTAAAGCGTTGCTACATTAGTTGGCCACTTTGCGCTACCCCATGGTCTCTAATGTATGCGCGTGTGACATCTCGCAGCTGCGCCATGTAATCTCTTGCGCGGCTCCGCATGTGACCGTTCATCTTCGGCTGTGATAAATCTGCTGCTGGATGAAAAATGTGATTATGGTAATCCACCCAACGGCTTGCACACGAGCCAAATTCATGGCGACACCTCCTTGGGGGCGTGTTCCTTTCGCTATTATTTTCGACCGATGCCAAGTAAGTCGATTGTCTAATAACCTGTGTGGTATCCTTAAGTGTTCAACCGCCTTATTAAATGTAATTCTAAGGGTACACACATTTGTCCACGCTTCTTTGCATATTCCACGTAATAGCATGGTAGTCGTAACGCATTAGTGAATTAAAAAAAAACTTCAGGACAAACGCATGTTGGGGAAACGATGCAGAATACATGCACAGGTGTTATTTGTCATCAAATCTGCGTGGAATTTGCAGTTTCTAGTCGGCCTGGATGATGCTTGGTGTGGGTTGACCGAGGCTACTGTGGGACTGGTTGCAGGTGGGGGGGGGTGTTCATCCAGCAGTGGATTTACAAGCCCTCTTAGGTAGAAACGATTCAGAGTACACTGCATTCAATGCATTGAGCATTCTATTAGTAAAATACAATCAGGCAGTATCACAGAAATTCACAAATCAACTTTATTTATCCAGTACACCACTGGAATACAACTAAATCTTAGGAATAAAGCTTTTGGTGGTTTATATTTTTTGTTACTTTAAACCTTCCATTTAATTCCTCTGTTTTAACGGAATGTAGAAGCGCAAAAACGCACAACCCCTCACTTTATGAAACGAAAAGTGGTCACCCCTCCAACCACGAGGGGAAGGAAATAGTTTTTAATATGGGTTCTAAACCCCCATGCTCACCAAAGACGCTAACTCAACTTGGTACTCTTAAAACCAGGTGAGGGCGATATGGGTCGAACCATCAGCACCCTTGATTGAGGGCGGCGACTCCATTGCGGAAGAGATGTGTTTTTAACGTGGTGGTGAATGCAAGCAACCGGCTGCCAAGTCACATGGGCCCCATCACAAGGTACAACGCACACAATCGGGAAACATCGATTCTTACGCAAGAGATTTCATGCAAGTACTGTGATCTTAAAGCCAGGTTCACGCCTGAAAAATGCAACGTAATCGCCGGTGAACTTCAATAGGGAAATTGTAACTGCGTATTTGGGACGAACAGCCAATTCGTTTGCAATTGTCACATGCTGCTGAAATACATTGCGATAAATCAGAGCAGACTGCCACTTGAAAATAAGATTTTTTTCTTTTATAAATACAACCCGATGTACAAATGGTTGCTGAGACGTCCACACATCGGTTATGGTAGCAACCAACCACGTCTCGCTATTGATCGCTCACGTGTAGGGTTCTGTCTGAAGACGCGATATGAAGCAAAGAGGCATTGTTATGCCCCACTTCGCTGTTCGTCTGGCCCTGGCCATAACCTTGTCAAAACCCAGAGTTGGACAAGGCAGTTGAGGCCTCCCATCAAGAACAAGAAGCAGCCATGGTAAAAGACAAAGCAAACTTAGGACTCCATCAACAAAGATCCCACAACTGCTAACACGTATGCACATTTTGTGAATCCAAGTGCAGTGGTTCATCGCAAAGAACACTTTAAAGTTTACAATCACACACATGACTCGGTTTTTTTTATAACATGACCAAAGGCCTATGGGCTCCCTTGTTCAATGTGAAATGGATGTGTATAGTTACAGAAAATATCTGTCCACAGCAACACGAAGCTGTGTTTTATACCCTCTTGGGGGCAGAGGACCAAATATGCCCAAGGCATTTAAATTTGAGACCAACGGCACCCAAACTCCGGTCGTAGCAGCTCCCCACTGCCCATGTTTTTCAGCATTGCCAATCCAAATGGATGCTTTACACCATTACTCGATACCATTTCACCATAATCCCAATTCAACACTGACAGTTTCCCATTAGGAGGGGCAGGGGGGGGGGGTGCTGATAATAAAAGAGATATTTGGAGCAGTGGACGACTGCGATTAACCAGCATTTGGGAGATGCATTTCATTCGGTAAGGCACTCCACGTGAATCTGGAAACAACCAGAACACCAGCCTCTACTATCAAGGTTAAAAGTCATGGCAGGGGGATGCAAGAAAGCAAGTTTGGCTTTTCCTGGCCAAATAGGGGCAAACAAGGTGAGAGTACAACTCGAGTTGGATTTAAAGTGGCGAAAAAGCCAATGCTGGCTAGAAGCTCGGTCGACGGTGACCTGCACGGAGAAAGGACATTGATCATTTTCTGTATCGTATCACGTGGAGCTGGCAAGTATACAAATGATGGCTTAAAAAATGTTAACCCGGAGAAACGACACAATCGGCATTAAACTAAACCACGTAACTTACATCTCCAATGTGGCTAATTGCCCTCCGATCATTTACAACGTATGTTCATGTATGCGCGTGTCGTCCATTTTTCGAATTTACTGCTGGATGAGGGCCTTCCCACGCCATGCGGGTTTTACCACAGTTCACGCAGGTCAGGAAGTGGTAAAGTTGGCCACGTCTCAAGGTGGTGGGGGGGGGGGGGGAATTATACAAGTCCTCCACAACTCCTGTGCGGTTTTAAGCTTTAAAAGGTTCAGAGACTGCGTTGGCATATGTGCAGAAAAACGCACAGCCCTTTGTAAATGTACTGCTGGGTGAAGGCCTCTCTCTGTGCCGTGTCGGTCAAGGGGGTTGACCGCACTCTGTCACGCTAGTCAGTGCGGGTGTGGTGAAGTGTGGAGGGAGAAACGAGGCCCCAGGTTCAGCCTGTGGTCAGGAATCGAACTCGGGTGGCGGGATTCACAGCGGCGGTGGGGGAGATAACCACTGCACAGGGTCAACAAACTTTACCCAAAGCGTCACGAAGAAACAGTCGTCATAGAGTAACGTTGCAGGAAACGGCAAAAGGAAATACTGCGGAATACTGGAGCTCATGAAACATTTTCCTGTTGCAAGGCTCCGTTCAGTAATACTTGCAGCAGCTAGCGTTATCAATTCAGCATTTTAACGACTCACACCCCCAGCGATGTCATGAATTGATCAAATTCCATTAAAAAAATCTAAACATTTCAGTGAAGATAGCATCACCAGCGGCTGCAGGTGTTAGGTTGAACCCAATTACTGGTCGAATCACATGCCATGATTTGTAGTTCATACCTGATAATATTCTGTGTCCATCACACATGGCTGAAAAAGGCCCTTAACCGAGCAGTTTAAATTTGGCGAATACAAATTCTCAGTGGGCAGGGGTGCAAAACGTGCAAGGAATATTGATTTCACGAAGACATCGCCCCCTACGTCTGGCCTGCCACTAAAACTGGGTTCGCACCGTCACTGTCATGAATATTCCTTGTGCCGCTGGGACACGTCGTTCTATCAAGAGGATTTTCAAAACGTTTGGGCAATTCCACAAACAAGTGACGACTGTTCGGGGTATCGGCACCACCCCATCAAAACCTTGAGCGGCGGCCGCCACCACCACCGCTGCCTTGTTTCACTGCCAACAATTCTGCTGCGCGTCTAGGTGGCTGCCCCCCGTGGAGAGGCAGTGTCCGCAGCAACCGGCCCACCAGCCCCCTAACTCTTGCTATGGCATTGATGTTTATGTTGGCTGCAAATACACAACTATATCTGCATGATCCGTCCTTTAATTTCATTTCAAATTATTACTTGTTTTTGCCATGACTGTAACACGTTTGTGATCGTACTTTAAGCAAAGCAATCGTTTCGCATTATTTCTGTCGTACAGTCCTTAATTAGTGGCATGGCAGTACCGAGAGCGGCGGTTCCCAGAATTTTCTTGCACGACCAAGCGTCTCTCATCATCCTCCTCATCCCTCTGGGGGTGGGTAAAGTACGCACCGCCTGGACAAGACTGCTCCCATTGGTGGGAAGTTTTATGGACAGGCTGGATCACCACAAACACAAACTGTAAAAAAAAAATTGTAAAAGTTGCCGAAAGCTTGTTTCAAATTCCAATTAACCTTAATAAGGAAACACAAATCAGACAGTAGAATCTCCCCACGCCAGAATAACTCCTCAATCTTCAAGTGTCACAAACGGTGAACAGTAAGGTAAAGGTGCAGCCCTGCAATTGCTTGCTCACATTACTGCTGGCGGAAGGGTCTCCACTAGAGGGAGCTCGAGACAGCCCCCCTTCTAGGAGGTATGCTGGCCTTCTCTTACACGTTGGCCAGGCATAAATTAAAGATTTTTATTTGACCAGGTAAGGCCCATGGAGCTGTACAGCTCTTTTCGGACGTGACCTGGCAATCACAAATGATAGCTGAATAAAGTGGCTTATTAAGTGGAAATTGATATCAGCTAAATCATTAAACGCATGTCGATTCTAAATGCGGAGTGGAAAACCGGAGGACCCGGAGAAAAATCCACGCGACCACGGGGGAGAACATGCAAACTCCAAATATACAAGCGTCAGCTTCGGGATCAAACCCACAAACCCATGACCTGTATACCAGGCAAGGAGGTTAACATCTCGCCACAGTTAACATCTCGGAAAAGACAGAAGTACCAACACTTCGCCCCACCGCATGCGACCTAACAATCGACTGGCACGTACTCTTTATGCTGCTGGCGGGGGCATAGGATTTTAGAAACTTGCCCAATGGTTTTAACTGCCGCGCCGGAGGAAGTAACCGAACCGGCGTCCTCTGGATTACCAATCCAGTGGGCTGACCCATGGCTCCACCGCGGCAGCACCTGCCGGGGTCGTGGCGCAAAACCGTACCGTGACGAGCGACAGGGAATTGCGGGAGGCGGAGCCAAGGTGAAAGGACGGCGGCCAACTCGGAACGCGTAGCGAGCGCTCTTCAAAAGCCGAGTGAATGTTCCAACGATCTGCACAGGCGATGGTAGGTCCCCCCTATGGGCGATGCGACGCAGTTGCTAACACGGGTTATATAGGCTGCATCAATCCAAGTTGTTTGTGTTGCAATCGTGACGTGCAATGGGGTCCACAAAAGCATTCCCACAGATCGTGGGCAAATAGTATAATTTTTGCCACCTCCCGTGAACTCCTGTAAGAACGTTGCCCTTATTTCAGCCAAGTGTGACCACTGCTTGGCTCTAGTTTAACGAGACCCTTCCCTTTCAAAAAGTGCTTCACGATAACAGGAATGCAGCGACAGAATAAACGTAACCAGCTAGAGTACAGCAAGTCGGGCTGCTAATCACGTAGGCATGTATAGAAATGTCACCCATATATACACGCAAAGTACGATACACCCAAAGGCTACGTTAGGAAGCTTCGTGTATGAACACTGCACTTAAAGCTCCCCCCCGCCGCCCCACCCTGTTGAAAGCTCCGTAAAGATAATTACAACGATGTTTCATGGCAGTTCCTTTGCACTCAGTTATGGAATTTACCATCTTACGTGGAGCCACTGCGCAAGGATATTTAACAATGAAATGCTATGTACAAAGACAAAGATCCCTCCCTTATAGCCTTAACAGACTTGTTGGGCCAAGTGCTGTTAGCGAGCACCTATGAAGGCCGGCACGGCACACGAGGGAGTGGGTGGCCAGCAACAGGCCCGGCCATCTTTGTCTCCCCAGGGGTAATGTCTACACGCCAGGTACTCATTTGAGGCCGAGTCAAACTAGGGGAGGCCCAGAACCGGTTCAGATAATCGTCACTGGTGTTGGCCATGAGCGGGAATCGAACTTGGATCCCCGAGTTTTACTGCCCCCCCCCCCCCATATGTACACACACGCACGCGCACAACACAAGCCTGTCTTTAATTCCCACCTACGCAACGACTGCTAATCCTGCACTAATGGACGTGGAGGTGTTTATCCGTCTGAAAAATGATATAAACACAGGCTCAACTCCTTCATAATTTGCCGATTGCGAGGGTGCATGTAAATACCACGTACGAGGATTTCCTCCTGGCAGTGTTAATTTGCTGCGATGCTAATGAGCAGTACTTGCGTGAATTAGCTCAGCCAGTGGATTTACCTTAATGCGCACTACGCCCGGAGGTTGTTAAAACAACGGGGTTACCGCGGCTGGTTCTTGGGTGGTTCAAGAGTGGGCTCAGGAATAGAAACACCCCCATGAAAAAGAAATTGGTTGGCTCCAAAGGACGGTGTCCAGTTTGTCAATACAATACAAACTTAAGACGACTGCTCCTACAACCACCAGATACCAGCGGCTACAATGATGATGATGATGACGAGGACGATAAGGAAGACATTGAAACATTACGAGGTGTGAATTGGACCATGGCCACAGATGTGAATGGACCGACCACATGATCTAGCAACTGCAATCGTAATGAAGAAGACAATTACCACTTAGAAATCTATTTAAAAAAAATACCTACAACACATAAGGGTCCTCTCCACAGTTAAAACTTCACTTCCAAACCTAACAGGTGTTCCCGTAAAAGGAATGCAACACGGCTCCCGATTATTTAAATCGCCGAGCCAGGTATATAAATACAAACTACATAACCGTAACAACCACCAAACAAGAGATACACCTGTTAACAGCAGCATAGGATACCCCAACCAGAGACTACACCTCAAATATACCAGGGTTCTTTTTTCGGCTGGATGTCGATGCTTGGTTGGTGAGGAGAGGATAGGAGAGATTGCGATGATGAAGATAAGCGACTTACTAAATTATTGGCTCACTCTTTAGCTTGCTCAGTCATGCATAAACTCGCGTACTCGCTCACGCATACACACACTTGCACGCTCACTCGCGCTATCCACGATGTACGCAGTCTCACACTCACCCACTCTCTGGCTCGCTCGCTCACTCACGTGTTCAACTCATCTATCGACAGAACTTGCTGGCTCTTCACCCATGCAGGCACCCACCCACCGACCTGAACCACTCATTAACTCAAGTTACTCACACCATCACCCTACACATGTTCCCGCACTTGCCCTCTCACCCGTTCACACGCGGAGGGCCCCCTACTACTCTGCTAAGGCTCACAAATCCGGACCCCCGAACCCCAATGCCCGACCGGTGTTAATCTGCCGGCGATGCGGCGTTCTTTCGGGTGATGTCGGCCTGATGGAGGAGGATAGACGTCGGTGGTTTGCTCCTCCAGTGAGAGAGCTTTCCGGCTGAGAACATCAAGTTCACAGCCGGCATGGAAACTCCCTGCTCCGTGCTGGGGACTGTGGGAGGCGGATGGGGAGCGAGCGGTGTGGAGCTCTCCGTGGAGCCACCGTCCTGCGGGAAGGGGGGGGGGGGGTACAACAAGGGCAGCACATTTTTATTTGTGTACATTATCAGAATCAGAATATTAACACTGGAGAAATCTGATGAGCTATAAAGCTCGTTTTCACCAATGTCCAGTAGCCATCCATTCAAAGACTTTATGTGCAGACAGCGGCTCCTTCACCCATGTATCAGAATAAACATTGTTCATGTCACTATCACAATCACCATCATAATGACACCACAGCACTTGTGCCAGGCTATGTGCACTTTGGTCCAGAGACACAGCACAGGGGCAAGAGAGACAAGAGGCCTCACCTGGTAGTGACTGATGAAGTCCAGCAGCTGCAGCGAAAGCTTTCGGCTGAAATGCAGCAGCTCTTCCAAACTGGGGAAGGGAGCGCAAAATTTCTAAACGGCGGCAACTTGAAGTCGTACGTTCCTATGTCTGGATGTCGCTACGCGAAACCGAAACGTTCCTCGCTTTTATCCCGTGGAGGCAGTGAAGAGTCAATTCTCAAGCGCACGACGTGCGGACACATCGCGGGCCCAAAACTGTCGAATTGAAACCCGCGCGGATCGACGCGTCGTTACGTTGCCTACCGGCCGGGGCGGACCATCGTGTGCACGCGCTCGCGGCAGCGCTCACCTCTCCTTGCGGAACAGCGAGTGGGAGGCCACCCTCTCGCACACGCTCTTGTTCAACTCGGAGTTGAAGAGAGGAATCCCGAAGCAGAGTTCCAGCGGAACCCAATGATCCGCTGGCGACACGGCGGGGGGGGTGGGACGGAGACCAAGTGAATGGTAATTACACAGAAAACGGACGCATCGTCACTTGCAATTGGTTCAGCAGTTTACAGCCAAGTGTGACCTCTTGAGTGTTATCCGGTAAGTCCTCGCTTAACCTCGTGTATACACGGGGCATCTTCGCTATAGCTCGGTTCATAACGCGGAACGTGCCCGCAATAACGTGGTACGCGCAACGTTGTATCTGTGCGTTCGACAACCACTTTCTTGAGCTGCACGGGTGAGCGGAGTGATACAGTACGTGGAATGATATTGTAATGCAGCGGCGTACCCTCCGTTATTTCTCCCGTCATCTTACTAGTGTGCATACATCGTATCCCGCCAACCTTTAACGTGACATTATTTAAGGGGAAATTGTTTTCACTTAACGTGGCCCTTTTCAGGAAAGCATCAACCGCATTAAACGAGGACCTAACCCGTTGTTTGCATGGTTTTATAAGGGTGTTACAGTTTCCTTCCAATTGCAACTAATTCCTTAAATGGAAATGGCCAAACGTCTTAATGCAGGACCCTCATGAAAAGTCCTGAGACTCGGTAAAGTTTTAATGAAAACAATGAAATAGAAGATGAGCATTACACTTTATAACTGTGAGCTGGCCAAATGGCCACGCTACAGTTATCAATATTGCCCAAAACTATACAGAGATCTTCCAGGCATGGTCAATGCTAAGATATGTGCTGAATTTCCCAGCAATTTATACTCTGTGGTTCATTCGGTAAAGGCACGTAGGTAGAAATAAAATAAAACAAATCACGACGTTTCGATCGCAACACAAGCGATATTAATCAGGTGGAACAACCACAGCAAGAAAAAATTCTGAAGTAGGCGAGAGAGCTGCCGTGGCAAGAGGTTATATAGGTAAGAAAGGGGGGAGGAGCAAGGGGGGAGAGAGAGAGGGGGGGTGTGGAGCAGGGGAAGGGGAGCTGCTTGTGTTGCGATCGAAACGTCGTGATTTGTTTTATTTTATTTTATTTCTACCCACGTGACTTTACCGAAGGAACCAAAGAGTATGGATTCCTGCAGTCACGAAAGCTTCAAATCAAATATTTTCCCAGCAATTTGTTCAGGCGATTTGCAGTACAGGTAGTCCCCGAGTTACGATGGAGATGCGTTACGACGATCAAAAATATCGTAAGTCAAAGATGGCCCAGCCTACCCAGGAGTCTTAAAGAATGATAATTTAGCAAAACAGAGCAATTTACAGTATCGTACTGTTATAAACTATATACTGTATGTATTTATTAATTACAATACTGTATTGCACAGTAAAATGTAAAGTAAAAAAAACAAGGTAAATTCTTAGCCGACCTATATGAACTGCAATTTAATAGAAAGTTTTTTTCAGGAAACAATCCTATCTGCTATAAAAACTTTTAACATGCGTACATCCCGGCAGCGTCCCAACGTACAGTATCGTACCTCGTACGCTGCTGCGTTTGCCTGCCGCACGAAATTTAAAATATTTTACAATTTTGTCGTATCGCCATCGTAAGATCGAAATATCGTAAATCGGACCATCGTAACTCGGGGGCTACCTGTATTTGTGAAACCAATTGAAGCGGCCACTGGCAGACGTACGGACAGACAAACATTTCTTGGGCATAGCGACAAGTGCATCAGCTGCCTGAACAAGCAGATGACGAGCTGCAGGGCACGAGCGAGCGCGTGAACAACGACGAGGCCACGCGAGTGCGCGCGGTGGTGTGAGCGTGCGGCACTCACCCTGGGCTGTGGGAGCGCTCGGAGGGGCTCTCCTCGGCGCCGTCTTCTCGACCGCCCCCTCGGCGTCGCCGCCCACAATCTCAAACGAGTCGGCGCTGCCCTGCGTGTCCGAGTCGGCCGGCGAATCCTCCGCGGTGCCAGCAGGGGGCCCCTCTGTTTCATCGTCGGGACACCCGTGGCAAACGAGCGCAAGCACACAGAGGCACGCACCAGTACCAACGTGATGAACACTACAACACCCGCCGTTCGCCGCTAAGTGGCAGTAACGTCACCACGGTACCTATGCCAGGTGCACTTTGAGGCCACGTGAAGTGTCGATGGCTCGCTGACAGGAAGTCACGGGACAGACCCAGGTGTCATGGGTTGACCGACTGCTGTTCGCTCTCTCATCTCCCCCACACCTGTGCGCTTTCTCTCTCATCCACCCGCACCTGTGACCTCTCGACTCCTCGGTGTGACCATGGCGATGAAGCCGCACGAGTGCTCGAGGTCGAGCTTCTCCCGCAGTGCCTGCACAGCCGGGTGCCGGCACACGTGCTCCAGGCTGAAGTCTGTGGCAAAAAGTGAGCGCCAAAACAAACACAAAAGTTCAGATTAAGAGTCATAATACAGGCAGGATGCGATTTATAGACGGCAAGCACGCACTGGTGACTATAATGCCTCGCAAGCGTGTGACATCACCGCATCGCGTGTATAACAAACCCAGTATTTTCATTTGGTCAACCAACTCAAGTGTGAAAACTGTGGCAATGTTACTTGAGATAGGAGCGGGAGAATGTACGTATTTATATTGTATGTATGTTGAACTTATTTCGCACAGTACGTAGCCAACCGTGCTAATCGGAGGTGCGGGGGAAGGACAACAAACTAAACACAAAAAAATCAGACGAACGCTATACCGGTTTCAACCTTAATGGGATTCATCAGTAGAAGATAACCATCGTTGTCTACTGCTGCCTTATCCCTGACAGATATTCGTTCCCCTGGTGGGTACAAGTCTTCACCTCCGACACTTACCTCCCTTGATGATGGGCTCATCAATCGGGAATGGAACGTAAACGACTTCGCCGTCCGCCTGTGCCCCATGTCCCTGCCGCAAGTAAACACCTGGTTAGCATCATCGAATCGCCATCCTGTGTCGGAGTCATCGCAGCAAACGCTCATTAGGGGGCTCGTATTATCGCAATACACACACACACACACGCATGACCACTGCAACTAAATAAATAAATGTTATTTCATTACACAAAAAAAGCTTCCCCGAGTATCAAAGCACTTATTTCGGGAGGCTCCTTCTGCGGGCGGTTTGACCAATAAGATTTGAAGGAACGTTTTTGCATGTGGAGTACGCAGAGAAGACCCACCATCGGCTAAATCTAGGGAGATTTGGTCACGGGGTATGTCGGATTTAATTTTGTTTTACCCAGGACAGCCTCACTGCATCTCAAGACTTTTTTTCTGGAGGGTCCTGACAACGTTTTTGCAGTTGGGGGCAATGCTGTTGTTATCCTAATTAAGTAATTTGCAGGTAATTGTTTCAGCATTGGGATGTTTGGCCAATACCAGTTACATTGTAGGTTTTTTTTAGCTTACTGGTAGGAAACCGGAGAACCCCGGAAGAAACCCATTCAGAGCCATGGGGGAGAACGTACAAACTCCACACAGAGTCAGCACTCGAACCCATGTGCTTCTTGCTGTGTGGCACGAGTCTAACAACCTTGCCACCTTGCCGCCTACAAACACATGACGAGTAGTACAGATCAGTGGTTCTCAGCTTTTCTTGGCGACTGCACTGCCTTGATGAATTTTGCTTCAACCGAGTAACCCCTCTTGCCTGACCCAACATGGTTCTGACAAATAAATGTATGAATAATTAACATCAATATCGTTCTAAGTTACCATGTGGGTTTCAATTGTTATCGTAGTTATTTTATACTAGGTTGTTGGGGGGCGCCTATGGCCTGCAGCGTCCCCAAACAACCACAGCCAGCGGCGGGCCCGAACAACCACACGGCTCTCCCTCAAGCCAGCAGTGGAGAGCAGGGGAGTCCCCCTCAGGGCAGCAGTGGACGGAGCACGGCTCTGCCTCACTCTCACTCACCCGTTTCCTCACTCTCACACACCCGTCTGTTGCTCGCGGTCACGTGACGCACTTCAACCAATCGGGGGGCGTACATGTTTGGGAGGGGCTCGCCTCTGCCTGGCTGGTTGCTCGCGGTCACGTGACGCACTTCAACCAATCCGTGCCGCGTTAATCACAGGCGCAGAATGAAATAAAAAATGACAGCTCTGGGCTATTATATATGTGTATTGGCAGATTCGTACATGATTATTCACCAAGAAATCTGAATTTTGGGCAAAGACCATATAGGTTGGACAGGAGCCACGACGAAGAAGATACATTTATAAATCACCTCGCGTACCCCCAGGGATCCGCGTACCCCGGTTGAGAACCACTGGTATAGATGATCAAGGGGGATGATCCCGAGGGTGGCGAATACCTGAACGAGGACGGCAGAGTGGGTGAGCGCGTCGTTCAGCGTCATGAGGACGTTGGACGTGGCCACCACCCCGGGGTCATGACCCCAGGATGTAATGAGTAACCGCTCGTAGCCCTGAAATGCGAACAGACGCGATCAATACAAAAGCTCTTAACCCTTGCGTGTCGGTACCTGTGTGTGTGTGTGGAGCCCAAGTGTGCACCTACTATCCACAGTGTTCACTTCAGATGCCAAGAAGCTTCCGAGATGCGGGACACATTCACGCCGCTTTTGCCACAAATACGAATGCTAAAACTAAGCTCCATTGTCCGAGTATACAGTTAATTTGCACACGGTTGTGACATGATTTATTTTACATTTGCATTTGTATTTAAGCACTATGTATTGTCTATCGTGTTTGCAGTAAGTTCTGGTATGGGTGTTGGGAACAAAACTGTTGTTTTTGCTCTTGTTAGATTGCCCATTGCCACCCTGCAATGGCCTGTAACTGCCGCCACTGTCAACAGTCTTGGGCGGTGATCTATGAATCTGTATGTAACTCTATGAATCTGTAACTCTATGAATCTCTATGCAACTCAATCTAACTATGATGTCCTGTAACTGCGACCACTTTCGACGATCTTCGGCTGTGGTCTACGATCCTGTATGTAACTCTATAAATGTTTATGTAACTCTATGGATCTATCTTGATTTGAAGCTTTCGTTACTGCAGGAATCCACACTCCTTGGTTCTTTCGGTAAAGTCACGTAGGTATAAAATAAAATAGATCACGACGTTTCGGGCGCAACACAAGCGTCCGTTATCAGGTGAAAAAGCATCGCCTGCTGCTGAGGCAGACTGTTTTAAAAGGTTTGAAATGGGTGTAGCCCAAGGGTCATAAACAAGTGGTCGGGGCTAGTGATGTTAATGTGAGAAATTAGCAGTGTAACTGGGTACAGGAAGTGTTATGGATCTCTAAGTAACTCCATGGATCTCCATACAACTCCATGGATCTCCATACAACTCAATGTAACTGTGATGTCCTGTTACTGCCGCCACCGCCGATTGTCTATGTCTGCGGCCGTCCTCGTAACAGAGTTACTTATCCACAATGGGGCCATACCAGCGGATAAGATAAACTCCCGAGTTCCGATTTGCCGGATGGGCATTCGCGGGAATGCTCACAGGTACCTGGAATATAGAGGGCAGGCGCCGCAGCCGTGTGCCTTTGGAGAGGAGTAGGGAGGGCGGGCCCCAGCCGGTGAGGTGGTACACGTACAGCTTGAACCAGATGGAGCTCACCTCTGGGATCGCCGGACCCATGTGCTGCACACAAGATATATATCGTTATTTAAAGCAAACTCGCACAACAATCGCTACTGTTACAGCCAGAGAAGATTCTATATCAAGCAGCGAAGTGCTGCTTTTGCGTTAGACCACGGTGTTGATGTCCATCAATCAGCTTCAACAAACGTATACGAGTCTGCACATCCGACTACTACGGCTCCCAAGATTAGCCCAGGGCATCGTTGCCAAGCCTGTGCCTCCTAATGCCCGCCTTCCTTCCGCCCCCACCCCGCGGAGGGTGAGACCTGTGGGGTGCAGCTGCTGATGGGGCGGATCTCGTTGCTGAGCGGCGCCATGGAGACGAGCAGCGCGTAGTTCTTGTTCAGGACGCGGCTGCACGTGGCCGGGTCCAGGCCCAAGAGGCTTTCGCAGCGTAGCAGGTCCAGCGGCAGGCCTTGGCACGCGCGCGCGTCGGGCAGCAGCGCGATTGAGGGCAGCGGGAGATGCGCGCGACCACGGACGGGGCGGAGAAACGATGAAGTGTAGAGGACACGGGAGGGATGAGAAGAGATCATATAATTAGCGATAAAACCGGTGCTTGATTTCAGGCGGAACGGTCTGCAGCACTGTTATGTGATTTATTTTGGCGCGTCACGTGCATCTCGCCATATTTTATATTCACGGATTGTGATTATTGTAATTATAATAGGTATACACAGTAAAGTAATACAGGATTAATTATGGATAACCATACCCCTGTACTCTAGTGGAGTGCCTTATTCCAATAACCAGTAATCCACTCCCAATTCAGCCAAGCGGCATTGCATAAAACCGAGGGTGAAAAAATTACACCCGGGATATGATTCATGAACTAAATGACATTCTTACGCTCATTTTACGTGAACTAAAGTGTTTTTGCATAAGAATAAATTGTTCCCGATTAGCATGGTTGGCGACGTACGGTGCAAAAGAAGTTCAACATACATATATATGTATTAAAGACCGATATATATTCATATCGGTCCTGGGAACACCATTCGTCAACCCGCACTGCCCCGCGTGAAGTATGGTAAAAAAAAATCCTCAGTCCCAACACAAAGTGGGGAGGCATTTCTACAGCAGTAAATTGACAAAAGGCTGTACATTATTATTATAATACCACTAGATTCTATAGATTTACACCACAATGGATCATCTAGATTCTTACCACTATAGATTCTACATACACCGCACAGGGGCAAAGACGGAATGGATTAAAAAAACAACAAAAATAATACATGATCCCAAATTTTCATAATTTGTCTAATTGTAGCAGTAACGAAATTGTTACATTCATAATTAATTGCCTCCGCCACCTCCCCAACGATTTGCGAAACCAACTCTTTGTTTTGTCTCATTGGAACTTTATTTATCCAGATTGTGCTTTCGGCGTCACACGGTCCTGAGACGCAGAACCGATGCGGGAACCGTCGCAGATCAGCGCGTCGTGGCCTTCAAGGATCGCGCGGGGAGCAGCTACCGTTGGGATGCATCTCGGGGTCCGGCGTGAGCTCCCGGTTGTGCCTCAGGAAGAGGATGGTGTTGCGCAGTGTGAGCGCGTGGTCGAAGTACCTCTGGGCCTCCCCCTCACCCGCCATCTGCACCTGTACCCAACGTTAAGGCAACAGGAATTTGATAGAGAAGAATGAGCGAAGAGGACACCAGCCCGAACCAGCTATGATGTAAACGAGGATGCGCCGAACGGACAAATGTTTTGTAGAGGCGCACAAGGTCTGTGTGCCGCCTGCTATCAACGAGTTGAAAATTTGAAGTTTCGTTAATGAATACTCTAGCGATGTCACACAACTACCACACCTTTCAAAACTGTTAAACATGACATCACTGTTAAATCGAACACCAATGTTCTAGCGACACCAGAATAACAAAGTTTAACTGGGAATTTAAATTACAACTTTCGAAGCGTGAGTCAAGTTCTCAAACCAGAGGGCGGTGGTGCTCAGCAAAGGGGACCATAACCACAATCATTATGACCACCGGTTGTTTCTCGCCAGTGGCTGTGTACCTTGTCAAGCTCCTGAAGGAAACTGTCCAGGCTCTCGTCCGATAGCTTCCCCACCTCAAACATCGTCACCGCGTGGCTCTTGAGATTCTGCAAACGTCACGCTGCCGTGAAGGTTTTACGAAGCTCTACTGCCGTCACCAAATCAACAGGATTTGGTGAGAGACAGATACAGAGGTAAGGACAACTGCATTTAATGCAAATGTTTTAGACAGCAACAAACTGATCGAACAAATAAGGTATATTGAATATGCCAGCGGTTCTCAACCAATCAGGCATGTTACCCTGGGGGGGCCCCAAAACCCTTTCGGGGGGGCGGCGGGAGAAATTCAGGCTGCAGCATGGATACCATACAGGAGAAAAATGTCAACGTGCCCAGTAAATGTCAGCGCCACGTTTGGGTGGCAAAACAGGAATATATAACATGATGAAACAGATGCCTTACTAACACCGCATTGACTAGAGGCGTGGGCATGCAATCTCTGTGTATTGTGGCCTCAGTATCTTTAGTTGTGTTTTTTGGGCTTGGAGGAGGGGTGGGAGATTTGGGGACAAGTGGTCTTGATTGGGTGGTCCTTGATGGAGATCGGAAACCCAAACAGGTAGAGAACCTATGGTTAACACACTCCAGTTTCCTCCACTTATACAATGGCTTATTCCAACTATTTTACCAAATTATTGAACAATTTCAATAAGCAAATGATATGCCCTCTTCAGATGTTTTCACATAAATAATTAGCATATTCCTTACACAACACATCAGACACACGTCCTTCTGGGAGCGTACAATTTCAGAAATACTGATTCAACACATGAAAGATGGGTGGATTGGTTTCAGGCATTCAATATCTCATCAGCAGTCAGGCTTGATTGAAACAATGAAATGCCAGATATGCATTGGCAAGGGCCCTCTCTGAAAAACTATGTAATATATAACACAATAAAATCATGAGCATCATTGTGGAGCAAAATAAGAAAATTTTTTAAAGCAGACGAACACCAGTTGTATTCTCCTGCAATGACACCACTCACGACAATTTTGTATTTGGCAATTTTAGGTCAGGAAACTGAATCCTGCCGACCTGTGCATGTGCCGGTGCATACGTACGGGCGAGAGGTTCCCCATCATGAGGAAGGCGGTGAGTGTGGAGTCGAAGAGGAAGGCGATGCGCTTGCTGTGCGTCCCCGGAGTCGGTGCGCAGCTCAGAGTCAGGCTGCTCACGCTCGCCTGTGTCTGCGTGCGCGCAAGACGGCAAAAACATATCCCTCTCGTGTAGCCTTAACGGGGTGCCACGATGGTAACTCCAATGACTTAGACTGGCCAAGCCATCACTTAAAAGCCAAGAGTGGCGAGATTTGGCCCCGTGGTGGCAAGATGTTAACTACCTCGCCTGGTATGCAGATCAGGAACCAACCTCAGGTGGGTGGATTTGTGGCGAGTTATACTAACAACTGCGCCACTACCTCCGTATACACTTACACGGATGCATGCCGCTCCTCTGCAAAAGTCTCAGAAGATCTATCGATCTAGATGATGCTTTATAGATAATGATTGCATCAAGACGCATGGCAAGTAATGGAGCTTCTTAGGCAAGGGTATCATGGTTCATTTGTTTCAATAATGGTTCTAAACCAAACTGTGCTGGCCCATGAACAGCCCAATAATAGTTAAATAACAAAATGTGTGTAAAACAATCAAGGTGATCATATTGTTTACATTTCAAAAGACAAATTAAATCAGTGTTATCATTGAACCTTTCAATGTGGTTGTAAAAATAATTACAACTCGTGATTTATTTACCTTTACATTGTGTTGCCATGATGATCAAAGTGACCTCATCAAGCCAATCGCAACGCTACGGTGTGTACAAAATCAAGAGATTATATAGGACCTGCAAGCTGCAAACCCACGTGCAACCTTATTTCTACAGCTTTGCCGCCCATGGTAAACGACTCGGCATGGACAAGCAAAGAGACGTCGTTGCAAGACACCACCGCCATAGGGAAAAGATTGCCCCTTATCGTCGGCTTCGCTGTGCACAACCGTGGATATTCACCCGGATCGTCCTGGCTGGCAGTGTCGGTGTCGTTGGCGTCCTGCAAGGCTCCAAGTCCCATCGGGCGGCCTCCGTCCACTCCCTCGAAGCTCAGCAGCATCTTCTGTGGGTCCATCGTGGCCCTGGCGGGGTGAAGGGCGTGGGAGAGGAGACCGTGAGTGCCCACTGTGATCTCCACCTGCAGCATACTCTCCACGTGCAAGCTGCATCAGGCCGTGCCGGGCGCCAGCCTGGCGTGGCACCATTAATCCAGCTGTGCAACGAGTGATATCTGAACCAGTGCTGGGCCCCTCCCCCTCATCCAGCAGAGGATTTGCTAGAGTGCTATAATTCTTATTTTTAACTTTGGCATGAATAAGCTTACGTGACCACTAACTCACTAGAGACGTAAGAAAACAACAATTCTCGATTCCTATAAAGACGTACCCCAAACTTTTGCTTTAAAATACAGGAAAAATAACTGTGTATTATTTTCTGAGAGAATACGGTACTTCTGAATAATTAAAAGCAATGCGTAACGCACATACATGTCGAAAAACACACCAAACAGTTGTTTGATCAATGCTTCAATACACCCGTGGGACATCATCGTCGTGCTGAATGTTTCGTAACACTCTCAGTCAGCACTGTTGGAGCCACCACCTGAGCCTGTTGACTTGTGCCACCTCCCTCCAGCTCAGGTGCAGGGCCTCCTGAGTCAGCACCTGGACCTTCTTGCGAGGCGAAGCCCAGGCGGTTGTAGAGCGACACTGCGTTCTGTGAATGCAAACGACACAAGCGACACCATCAATTGCCGCGCCTGCCAGTATCCCGCTAGGCAAATAAGTAATATTTAAAAATACTTTTTATTAAAACACGCTTTAATGAAATGTACCTGTACGAGTAATGGCAGAACTCCAAGACTCCAGGAAGTGGCCCCGAAGCTTGCCATAACGTAAGGGACTGTGGTGATTTACAGCCAGTTGAGTGTGGACAATTAGACCCAAGCCGAAACATAAGATATATGAACTCAATGCCACTGAGAATTCAGTTGGTGGCAGAAACCTAGATTTGGACGCAGGATGTCAGCAGTGCTGGCTTCGTTCTCTGACACAGTACAGGGGCCCTGAGCCATCTGGCCACCACTGGAGCCAATAAAATGAGTACCACTTTGTTGAATATCAAACAGCGGTTACACAATGTTTCTACTCGTCACCGTCATAGGAATCTGAAATTTCCAACAGTGGTTTAAGGCTGTAAACCACTAGACAAGGGACACTCCGTTGTTCACTTTAGCAGGGAGATGGTGACTTTGTACCTAACTGACAGACAAAATGACCAACATTTTGCTTGTACTGGAGTGTGTTATTGAGGCCACTGCAGACACGAGAATTAAAATCCAACACTCTCTGTAAATAATGGAAAAAAAACATCGATGCGTTCAAGCTGCAAACTATTAGAAACAGTTGTCTCGTGTTTCAATGCTGCCTGAAGGGACAATAACACTTTAATTTATTTTGAGCTGGTGGTCTAAGCAAGGTGGAGGAGCATTGTACATGCAACGCGCGCGGTCGCAAGACAAACATGCAAGGCATGATGGGTGAGTCATGCCTGCACGAAGCACGCCTGCAAGTGTTGGTATTTCTTGGCACACAACACCAGTGTGATTACAATCACATGATGTTCTGTTGTTTAAACCTAGGGCACCAATTCAACTTGATTATCTGTGCTCACTCGTGCGTGACGAATGTAAGACATGTGGCTGGCGCAAGCATTTGCCAAGAGCGATGAGTTGATGCCAGAGCAGTTGTGGCATCATGTGGAAGTCGAGCAGGACATGACAATGAAGTGCACGTTTAATGCCAGAATGATTGAGGCTTCTGTTAAAGCTCGGAGAAGGGCCTACCTTCACCAGAGACAGATCGATCTCCAGCACGCTCGCCAGCTGCACAGGAAATTAAAGAAAGTATTAATAATAACAAAAACACTCTGACATATTTGTGCCGCAGAACAAACACAATTTTATTAGTCCGTAATCTAGGTCATTACCACTGCTGCATTATTGCTATTATTGTTATCACTTCTACTTTCATACGGCCCATACATAGCAAGTATTGGATATTTAAGTGATTTAGCCATTACATTGCTTTGTCTGACCCCGAGTGCAAATCCTAGCAACGGCTAACATAAGTGGCGAGCGATATATGAACCAGCCCTGTGCCTCTCACTTCACCAAGTTGCACAGACCAGCGTGTTGAAGTATCGTCAAATAACCTCCATGACCGACACGGCATGGGGAAGCCTTCGTCCAGCAGTGGCTTGACAAAGGGCTGATTATTATTACTGTAGAAGAATTTGGTGGGGAATACCAATTAATTAATTCACTCTAGGTGGGTGGGGCGGATCCCGACTTAAGACTTTAATCTGATGACGTAGGGAAGTTACCTGAATACAAAATGACATTGCGACCAGTGGAGGTGGGCTGCAGAGGTTTTGTGGCAACATCTACAACCAGACTGCTTCGAGACCTGGGAATTAAGGGCCAGAGCCAGCGTTCGGCAATCAGAGCTGTATCGGAGGCGGCAGAAGGCAGCAGTCAGTGGCTCTGGATGAAGAGGAAAGACCCCAGCTGGGCCCCAAAGTGAGAGGGCCAGGAGGTATGCAGTCAACAATGCTTGACTGAGGCAGGAGGACGCCCCTGCCATGCATAGTCCCATGGGCAACTCCTATGACTAAGTGGGAATGGGACGCAAGCGTAGGATTGATCACCCTGTCGCTGGCCGCCTTTGGGGAGGGTGTATAGTATGAAAGGCCGAAACACCCTAGGAACCAAAGGTTCACTACTGACGATGCGCTCCCCAAATTTCACCAGGCTCACTGTTCATGAACTCTTGGAAGTGCTTGCACAAAGGATAGTAACATCTCATCCTGTGTTCTTTGGAATCTGAAACTCTAGGTGGGTGGGGCGGTTCCCGACTTAAGACATTAATCTGATGACATAGGGAAGTTACCCGAATACAAAATTACATTGCTCCCATAACGTGACAAATGTCTCACAGCCCAGGTTTGTCTTTTGCCTAGGGAATCCCCTGGTGGCAGCGGCCCCTATGCGACACAACGTGATCACGTGATCAACACAAGTGGGCATGTCTGCCAATGAGCGATGTTGCTATTAGCCTTTCCAATTAAATAATTTGGCAGGAAATTTTTGTTTTACTTTGCCAAATTTGTAGCATGGACGTCATCGCCGGCAGCGCCCACCTCAGCCACGTTGGTGTGCTCGTCGATCGAAACGAAGATCTTGTAGAGCAGCGTCTCAAAGTAGTCTCCCTGCAGCCGGTTCATGACGAAGCCTTCGAGGGGTGGAACTGCAAAAGCAAGTGGGAGGGTGGACATTGCACCAACACACACACAGCTTGCACCCGCTCAGTCGCTCACTCGGTCCTTCGCTGTCTCATTCAATGAAATAGACAATCACTCCGTCAATCAGTAACCCACATTGCTCAATCTGGGTTCCATGATGGAGAGATGTTAACTACCTCGCCTGGTACGCAGGAGATCGTGGGTTCGATCCCGCTCGGTCGCTCAGTCGCTCACTCGGTCCTTCGCTGTCTCATTCAATGAAATAGACAATCTCTCCGTCAATCAGTAACCCACATTGCTCAATCTGGGTTCCATGATGGAGAGATGTTAACTACCTCGCCTGGTACACAGGAGATCGTGGGTTCGATCCCGCTCGGTCGCTCAGTCGGTCCTTCGCTGTCTCATTCAATGAAATAGACAATCACTCCGTCAAACAGTAACCCACATTGCTCAATCTGGGTTCCATGATGGAGAGATGTTAACTACCGCGCCTGGTACGCAGGAGATCGTGGGTTCGATCCCAACCGTGACGCCTGCATATTAGGAGTTTGCATGTTCTCCCCATGGTTGCATTGATTTTTCTCCGCTTCCTCCGGTTTTTCCCTCCACATTTAGAATCAACGTGCGTTGAGAGAACCTGGCTGCAATAATTTCCACGTGATAAGCCACTTTAATTGAGCTATCATTTGTGGCCAAGTCACTTCTAATAAAGAGCTATATAGCTCAATGGGTCTTACCTGGTAAAATAATTCTTAATAGTTTTTAGTTTTAATCTGTTACTCACTTGCTCACTCCATTCAATCTCTCAATAATTCACTAAAGCTTTCACTTACTATCTCAGTAATTCCCTTATTCATGCATGCTCACACAAACACAATCGTATGCTCACTCATTCAGTGACCAGTGTGGTAGTGATGTACCAGAATATCAGTTCTGAAACCTTGAATGTATGTATGTTGAACTTATTTTGCACAGTACATAGTCAACTGTGCTAATCGGAGGTGCTGGGGAAGGACAACAAACTAAACACACATCTACAAAACAGCCAATATAAATTGTATTGGAATCCCATCTTGCAGGCAATAATTACATAAGCAGTACAGCAAGTAGCTCTCTGAAACATATCTGTGTGAATGCTTCTCCTGTAATATACTCAAGTTTACTGTGATTAGCTCGAGGACTCTGTGTTACTTTCCAGGGTAAATATCTTGAATGTTTTCAATTACATGCATTCCGAAGTTTAACTTTATATTAAAACAAAACATCCCACCTAATGGATTAAGACTCGATTAGTTCCCTATTTGTTCAAGCGAGTTTAAAATAAATAAATAGGAATGCCGACTATACTCTTAAGACTCAACTACAGTAAAACCTTGGATTGCAAGTAACTTGGTCTGCGAGTGTTTTTTCAAGACGAGCAAAAGTTTTAAATCAATATTAATTTGATAAACAAGCGAGGTCTTGCAATACGAGTAGTAGGTGTATACGCTTTGTCTGCCGAGCGTCACGTGATCACAACTGATATACGAGTGCTTTGGATTACAACACGTTTACGGAACGAATTATGCTCGCAATCCAAGGTTTTACTGTATCTGGAAAATATCCGGCCAGGTGGCTCAGTGGTAGAGCTAGTGGACTCACAATCAGAAAGGTTGTGAGCTCAAATCCTGGCTGGTGGTTGACTCAGTCCACCATTCCCTCAATAAAGTAAGCACCACTTTGTGAGGAAATCAACAGTGACTGTTCAATAGAGAAACTCGCACCCCAGCATTAGAAAAGTAGAATTCCCACGACAGACTCATAGTATATGAGCATGTATGCGTGTGCCGTACTACTCCTCTACACGTGTATGTTTAACTTCTTTGCACTGCACGTAGCCAACTGTACAAATTGGAGGTGCGCAAACTGCTAATTTCTCCTTTAAACAAGAATACAATTTACTTTTTTTACTATGTGGCAGAAACAGCAGCTTATGAATACTTGCAAGGAATCAGGTGGGTTGTAGTGGGTCCTGGCTGCATTATCCACGTGAGCACTCAATTATTAACCAGTAAGCAAGCAAGCAGTGCATTACCTCCAGTGTACTCCCAGGAGATTACTACCTATCTGTAAGCAAGATGCACCCTGAACTTTAGGCACAGCAAAAGAGCATTGTATAACTCATGAGCAATGTGTAGAGACAATTGCATTTATTGTATTATAAAAATCAAAAAGTATGGGGGGTAAAGGTGCAGCCCTGCAACTGCCTGCTTCACACAACTGCTGGTGGAAGGGCCTCCACTAGAGGGAGACAAAAAATATCCTCCTTTAGAAAGTATTGTTTAGTGTGCTGGCCACACTTGATCCCACCCCACACACGACCTGCCTGATCGACCAACAGTGGAGCACCCATTTATACTGCTGGCTGGACAGAGGCATGGGAGGGGATTGAAGAAACTTGTCCCCATTGTTTTAACCGCCACCGCCGGGCCAGGACATTGTAAGCCGGGACACTGAATCGAACCGGGCGACACCTATGGAATGCAAGTTCAGTGTGCCAGCCATTACACCGTGCCAGAAATCCATCGGCAATGTTGACATTAAAAGATGAAATACAGGGCAGCGAAGAGTCGCTACAGCTTGCAGTGCAAACCAACTAGAGGACAAGAAGGTGAAGCAAGCGAGAGACTGTCCCAGGGCTAGAAAGCAAATATGGGAAAAAAATAGTCAAGGCAGAAACAGCTGGGCCAACAAGCGGTGGGTGCCCAGTCCACACCAAGCCCAACACATCCAAAGCAAACAAAATAAAAAATCCACACATCAGTTGGCTCTGTGGCTTTGGCATCAGCTCTCACGTTGGCTTTAGAACAGATGGGCCTCTGTTACCTATGGCTGCCTGGAGAGTGGTGGAAATGCCTTTTCCTCGATATGTAATGAACATTCTAAATGAACAGGAGACAGAGACAACGAATTGCGGTACACATCTTCCAAGTGACCGGCATACATTAGAGAATAATAGTAGTAGTGATGCCCCGAGCTGTAATCTAGGTGGTGAGGACTCTATGGTGAGCGAAAAATAGCGGTTCACCCCAACCTCACCATCCCACGGTGAATGACAATACGAGCCAGCCGGTCTAACGATAACATCACGACTGTACAAACCGTGTTATTGTGTAACGTCTGAGTATGGATACATCTCTAAACGAGAAAAAAATGAATGGCAAATGAAAAATAAACCCATTGTCATTTGTTTCTCAGTTTCATTTCAATTATGCTTTCTGTGTCATGCCATGAGACAAAGTGTCTATTGAGAATTCTCAATATTTAGGGAATCACTCTGTCTAAGAAAACGTCCAGAAGCAGGAAGGTGTTATCACAACTACTTCTTCAATGATCAATACTAGGGGCGATGTACTTTCCTTACACGTTCTGCTACAGATAAAGATATTTAACTTCAATGAAATAATACATGTTATTCTTTTTTTAGTTCTCAGGGCTAGATTGTTTTTGTCCAATCAAGTGAAAGCCCAAAATAAATTATTGACGTTTTTTTTGCGCAGTCATTGGTGATGGGGGTTAGGACCACCACGTCGCTACACGCAAGAAACTTGATTAATCGTGAGCAGCTGAAATCAAACCCAGGATCTCAGCGGTGTTGCCACAGTGGCCTGAGCCCTGAGTCACCCAGGCCAGCTCACCGGAGCGGTTTCTGGTTTACAGTGCTGTCAGCCAAGTGACTTACCCACAATGCAGTCGTCATCTGAAATGGGTACATCCAAGTATATGAAGCCTTTATTGTAGAGCCCTGAAAAAGAAAAACAGCACAATGCAAGCTTAATAAGTAACCTGCAAGAAATACCGCATCATTTTATTTATAAAAATAAAGTAAAAATGTAAAGGCGTAGCCTTGCAACTGCTTGCTTACGCTACTGCTATTGGAAGGGCCTCCCGCTAGAGGGAGCCCGAGAAAGCCCCTCTAGAGGATATTTTGGCCTGCTCAGAATGATTCCAGACTCCTCTGAATCTCAACACCGCTTATCCTATCCTGCTGTGAAATTGCTAGCATCCTTTGCATGCAACTCCCAAGTCTGTGGAGAAATAATAATGCGAAACCAACGGGCAGGTGGAGGTGCCCACAGTGACAAACAGATCGTGTGGACCGGAAAGCGTTAAGCCAGTGATTTGCGGAGCGAGCATCGTACGGTGGACCACGGCGTGTTCGAGCGAGCCCGCCAGCTGTGGCCCCGTGTCGATGATTTTGTCGATGGTGTTCTTCTCCACGATGCTGCAGACCTGCGCGTCGGGTAGGCATTCGGACACAGAACACAGGGGGTTAAAGAAAAAAATATATATCACAGCCCAGTAAACCTCTTAAGCCAAGAGCTCTTAACAAAAGTGAATGCTCAGTTTTATAAAACATTTATTGCGGATGCAGCCATTAATAATCAATTAAAAAAATCCATCATAACCTGAAAGTTTTTTGGTCTATGCAGATGTAATGCGGGCGTAAACGGCCCTCCGGAGGTGACGTCAGGAGGGGAGGAGTTAGGTCACGTGGGGGGGTGAGGGGTTAGGCTATAGAAGGAGGGGAACCGGAAGAGGACGGGAGTGACGGGGAACCAGGAACAGAGAGAGGCCACGAAGGGCGAAGCGGAGAGTGGCGAGATCGCCACGAACACGGGGGAGCGAGGATCGGCACCGTTGGCCAGCGGTGACCGACCCGAAGCAGCGAGGAGGCTGCAGTCAGCAGCGGGGCTGCACAGAGAGTCAGCAGCGGGGCTGCATACAGAGTCAGCAGCGGGTCTGCATACGGTAGCAGCCAGAGGGTCTGCACATAGGGGTAGCAGCGGGAGTCTGCATAGAGGTAGCAGCGAGTCTGCAGGGAGGAGGTTACAGTAGATGAAGCAGAGAGTCAGAGGGAAGAAGAAGCTATAATAGCAGTGAATAGCCGGGGGCTACAAATACAGAGTTATAACAGAGTGCCGTGTGGGTGAAGACGAGAACCCAATAAAAGACACGAAGACAGAAGGAAGTGTCCGAGTCCTTTTATTACACTGGAGTCAGAAGTGAAACGGCATGGCGAAACAACTGAGGAAAAAGAATATTCCATCCCCGGCGTCGGCTTCATCTTCGGACGACGACGATCTTCCTCCTGCGGTCGGCTTCACTTCGGCGGAGGGAGAGATCCGTGAGGGCCCGGGCGTCGAGGAGGTGGCCCCTTCGTCCGACCCATCTGCGTTGAAGGACGAAGATTTAAGATGGACCCGGATGGCGGAGCAACTGGCAACCCTAAAAACCGTCATCACAAAGTTGTGTGACCTTGTCACGCCAAGGGCGGCGTTGGAAGGTGATGGTGGTGATCGGCAGGAGCCCGGGTCGTCTTCGATGGCGCCGCCATCGGCCACGCGGCGTGAAGACGCCATCTTGGGCGTGGCGCACCACGGAAGGCGGGAAGCCGCCATTTTGGGGCCGCCGCGAGGATCGTCCGCCATTTTGGCGACACAGCGTTGCGACGCCTTGCTGAACTTACCGCCGGAAGAGTCAGCGACGGACGGAAGCAAGCCAAGGAGTCGCAGTCGTCACCTTACAACCGTCAAAGAGTTCTCCATCGGGGGCGATTGGAGTGCGTTCGCCTGCAGATTTTTGGCGGCGGTACGTACGGCAAGGTGGACGGACGCTGAGGCACTGGAGGTGCTCCCGACTCTTCTTGATGATGAGTCCGTTCGTTTTTTTCGCTCTATAAAAGCTGCGAAGAAGAAAACTCTGCGAGGGGTGTTCGAGGAAATGGCGGACGCGTACGAGCCACCGGATGACGCCCATCGCCGATTCGTGCAGCGGCAACGCGCACCTGAGGAGTCACCTGTAGCGTACAGGGGCGCCGTGTTGGAACTCGCTATGGCCGCTTACCCGGAGACGGAGCCTGACCTGCTGGAACCACTCATCTTGGGGAAGATGTTGGAGTTGTCCCGAGATCTCGGCATTCCTATGCCGGCGTGCGGTCACGAAAAACTCACGTCCCGGACCGCGGCCAAGTGTTTGGACGCCCAGTTCAATCTCCGCCGCTGGAAACAGGTGACGGCGTGGACGGGCGGTCCTGTCGTCGATGGGGGGGCCGTAGGGTGGGACCCTACGAAGGCCGTGTACGTGCCGGATGCGACCGGCCCAAAGGAGTTGTCGGCCGCCTCCACTCCGTGGCCGGCTCGAAGCGGGCCAGGGCCGCGGGCTCCGCCGCCGGCGCGGCCGCGTCGGGACGGGGTGCCCGCTGCGCGCCGCCCCGACGTCGACTGCTTCCGCTGCGGCCGTCGGGGCCACTATGCCAGGGACTGCTGGGCCCGGGTTCCGGGGCCGCCCCAGCAGGAGGCCTCGACAGCGGACGCCCCAAAGAAAGACCCTCCGGCACAGGCAAGTCGGTGCGCACCAGACACCCGGCAAGGCCTGACACCTCACTCATCGCCGTTGTTATGCGACGCGGATGTTGTAAAATACGGGAGGCCAGTATCTGAGCCTTGTCGCTCGATAACGCAGTGGCGTAAGCTGGCTCGGCGGGTTGTCGCGGCCGCTACCGGTTCGTCCACTGTACCTGGGTCCATCCAAGGGGTGGACGTACGTATTTTGGTGGATTCCGGTGCGTCCGCGACCATTATTTCGGATGTGATATTCCATCTTTTGAACATCCCACCGGGGGCCGTGAGGCCGGCTTACGCTTCCTGCATCGCTGCGAACGGGGGTAGTATGGGCATCGTGGGACAGGTGGACGCTAACATTTCTATCGGGGGTGTCTCGGCCTCGGGCGTTGTGTTGATTTCGAGGTCCCTGGCGGTTCCTTGCCTGTTGGGTACGGATTTTTTGGCTAAGATGCCCATTCTAATTAGAATCAATGAAAATTGCATAGAACTACCGGGGGGCCGGAAATTGGAATTTTTACAGTCCGCCTGGGGGCGACCGGCTCCTGTCGCCCAGGTGCAGGCGCTATCGGAAGTTTCGGTTGATATTCCACCTGGCTCTCAGATGCTCATTCCCTTACGATACCGGAAGCCGGTTCCGGGTCGGCAGGGTGCTTTTGGGATTTTGCTGTCGCCGTCCGCCGCGGTTACGGGCGGCTTAGCGCTGGTAGGGGCGCAAACTATTGTCCGTCCAGATCAGCGCCCGTTTTTGCAGGTGTTAAATGCGAGTGCTGAAAGCGTGTGTGTGCCGGCTGGTACCGTTGTGGCACATGCCACTACGGCGTTTACGGCTCAGAGTGACCTGCCGGACGGGGGGCTTGTGGGTGGTGTTTCACATGATGGAGGGGTTGATGATCGTTGGATCGCCGAATTATGTGGGGAAAATTCGGCCCTTTCCACCGAGCAGCGTTGTGCGATTCATAAATTATTATCGAGCTATTCCGATGTGTTTAGCTCGGACGATTTGGACTTGGGACGCACCTCGCTTCTCTCTCATCATATCGACACGGGGGACGCTGCCCCTATCCGTTTGAACTCGCGTCGGATGAGTCCGGCTGAGCGTGAGCATGTTCGAGGGGCAGTGGAAGACATGTTGAAAGCGGATATTATATCTCCATCTAATAGCCCATGGGGCGCGCCTGTTGTGTTGGTTAAAAAGAAGGATGGTAAATTGCGATTTTGTGTGGATTTTCGGAAGTTGAATAAAGTGTCGGTGGCAGATGCGTATCCCCTGCCGCGTATGGACGATTCTCTCGACGCCTTGTCAGGGGCTAAGTTTTTTTCAACGCTAGATCTCTCTTCGGGCTTCTGGCAGCTCCCCCTTGACGAGCCCTCGCGAGAAAAGACAGCTTTCCGTACGCCGCAGGGGTTATTCCAATTTAACCGTCTTCCGATGGGGTTGAATGCTGCCCCTGCCACTTTTCAGAGGTTGATGGAGTTGGTATTGACGGGGTTCCAGTGGGAGACATGTCTCATTTATTTAGATGATATTATAGTCTTCAGCCGCACATTTGATGAGCATTTACTGCGGTTGGAGGCTGTATTCGCCAGAATGCGTTCTGCTAATTTGAAATTCAAGCCTAAGAAATGTCATTTACTGCAACGCTCCGTTCGATACTTGGGACATATTGTTAGTGCGGACGGGGTGGCCACGGATCCAGAGAAAACTGCTTGTGTCCGGGATTGGGCAACCCCGGCCACGGTGGGTGATGTGCGTCAGTTTTTGGGGTTCGCCTCATTATCGGAGGTTTGTTCCGAATTTCGCTACTATCGCCAGGCCTTTGCATCTCCTTACTGGGAAGGGGCATAAATTTGTGTGGGGACCGCCGGAGGAGGCGGCGTTTCGGAGCCTGCGCGATTTACTGGCTACTGCGCCGACGTTGGATTATCCGGATTTTGAACATCCCTTCATTCTGGATACTGATGCGAGTGACACTGGTATTGGGGCGGTGTTGTCCCAGTCAAAAGGTGGTGTTGAGCGTGTGGTGGCGTATGGGAGTCGGGTTTAATCTCCCGCGGAAACCCGTTACTGCGTCACTCGCAGGGAACTTTTGGCTATTGTGTTTTTTCTCCGACAATTTCGACCGTATCTGTACGGTCGGTCGTTTATTGTCCGCACGGACCATGCGGCCTTGCAGTACGCTCTTAAGATGGACCAGCCATCCGGACAATTGGCGAGATGGCTGGACACGTTGCAAGAATTCTCCTTCCAAATTCACCATCGGAAGGGTGTGCGTCACGCTAACGCGGACGCACTGTCCAGGTTGCCGCAACGATCCCCTTGTGCGTGTGCGTCGGGGACGCATAGGTGTGGACCGACTCAGCCCCCCCTTCAGCCTGTCGCGCTGGCAGTGGATGTTCTCGAAACTCCGCTTACACCGGGACCGGTTGATGGGGGACCGGCTGACGGGATTTTGCGTCTTCCAAGGTCTGTGTGGATTCGGGAGCAAATGTTGGACGAATCTTTGGTGTCGTTGCGAAAACGAACGGAGAAGGCGGGTAAGGAAGTCGGTGCGGGTGGTATTTCGGAAACTGCTCTCCGAGATGGGTTACTGATGTGGAGGGAAGGGATACAGGAACACTGGCGTCTCGTTGTGCCTGCGTCATTGCGGTATGAGTTGATTAGATCTTTGCACTGTGACACACTTTTACACCTGGGGGTGCAGAAAACCCTATTGACGCTGCAACGAGACTATTATTGGCACGGCATGACGACGGATGTCGTCGGTCACGTTCGCGCGTGTCCCGATTGCGCCCGCCGTAAACCACCTAAACATCCATATGTTCCGCCGATACAATCGATTAAAGTATCTCGGGTTAATGAGCTGGTGGCGTTAGATATTTTGGGACCCTTTCCGCCATCCGCTAAGGGAAATAAGTATTTACTGGTGGGGGTTGAGTACCTCTCTCGCTGGCCGATGGCCTGGCCTTTGCCTGACCAGTCAGCGGCGTCTATCACTGACGCCTTTCTATTTGGGTATGTAATGGACAAAGGGGCGCCGGAGAGGCTCCTTACGGATCAAGGACGTAACTTTTCGTCCAAATTGTTGGGGGAGGTGTGTGCGGCTCTTGGAACTAAAAAGATACGGACGTCCCCCTACCACCCGCAAACGGATGGTATGGTGGAACGGTTGAATCGGACTCTGTCCGCCATGCTGTGCCATACAGTCGGGGAAAATCAATCTGATTGGGATTTGCATATCCCTGGGGTGCTTTCGGCGTATCGCATGACGCCGCACGCGGCTACTGGATACTCGCCGTTCTTCCTTATGTACGGCCGTGAGAATGTGCCGCCGATTAATGAACAGTTGGGAACCGGCGCGAGGGGGCCTGTTAAGCCTCTTCCTGAGTATATTAAGGACAACGTTCGGCGTGTCGCTGAGGCGAGGGAAAGTGCCCGCATGGCTACTGCCAAGGCTCAGGCCAGGAATGAGCGGTGTGCCCGACGATCAAAGGGGGAGTGCCCCTGGAAAAAGGGGGACCTGGCCTGGCTTCATTGCCCACAGGTGCGGCCAGGTACCTCTCCTAAATTACATAGACCTTGGCAGGGTCCGGTCCGCCTCATTGAGGTTCCCAACCCACAGTCGGCGCGTGTTCAGGTTGGTTCACGGCGCTGGTTCGTGCATACATCCCGGTTGAAGCCATACATTGCCCCGCGGCCGGATGCGTCATCTCCCGAAGTTGCCTTGCCGGGGTCTGTTGCTGCCGACTCGCCCTTGCCTGTGTCTGCTGACCTTGCGAGAGCGCCTGTCGTACCCTTCACAGACAAGCCGGCCGTGACAGCGCAGGGAGGAGGACGTTCCGCTCGTGGGACGTCGACTGGAGCCGCAGAACCCACGGGACCTGCAGCTCTTCCTATCCCTCCGCGGAAGCGAGTACGGGATGTCTCTGGACGCGAGCGGGACAGTGGCGGGCCTCCAATGGCGACGGAAGAACTTGCGCCCGTCGCCCCTAAAACCCTTCCACGTTCCCGCTCGGCGGGTGGTCTGCCGACCGTCCGGGACGGCCCGGCTGCCCGTACTCGCTCGAAATCCCTCGCGTTTCGTTAAAATTGTATTGTGTTGTGTTCTGGTTATATTGTTGTTGCATGCTTCGTGTCTTTTTACGTGTTGGCCCTTTACACCCGCATTTCTTGTCAGGTTGCAATTCAGCCGAGGTCGGCTGGATTTTCTTTATGGGGGAGGGTGATGTAATGCGGGCGTAAACGGCCCTCCGGAGGTGACGTCAGGAGGGGAGGAGTTAGGTCACGTGGGGGGGTGAGGGGTTAGGCTATAGAAGGAGGGGAACCGGAAGAGGACGGGAGTGACGGGGAACCAGGAACAGAGAGAGGCCACGAAGGGCGAAGCGGAGGGTGGCGAGATCGCCACGAACACGGGGGAGCGAGGATCGGCACCGTTGGCCAGCGGTGACCGACCCGAAGCAGCGAGGAGGCTGCAGTCAGCAGCGGGGCTGCACAGAGAGTCAGCAGCGGGGCTGCATACAGAGTCAGCAGCGGGTCTGCATACGGTAGCAGCCAGAGGGTCTGCACATAGGGGTAGCAGCGGGAGTCTGCATAGAGGTAGCAGCGAGTCTGCAGGGAGGAGGTTACAGTAGATGAAGCAGAGAGTCAGAGGGAAGAAGAAGCTATAATAGCAGTGAATAGCCGGGGGCTACAAATACAGAGTTATAACAGAGTGCCGTGTGGGTGAAGACGAGAACCCAATAAAAGACACGAAGACAGAAGGAAGTGTCCGAGTCCTTTTATTACACAAGCATAACAGATATCAACTTCCTTTAAAAACACACACAGAACAACCCAACTACATATCGACCTTGGTTTCCACTATTCAAGACCTTGTTTTGTCTCAATTGATGTAAACCCCCATCCATCTCCCTGGGCTGAAACTTCAGCGCCATCCTTACCTTGATGTCATCCTCAGTGATGAACCCGGCCTGGATGACCCACCATGGCTCCACGGTGATCTCCACGGGCTTGATTGGCAACAATTCCCGCACAGGCCGCCTCCGGAAGAATTTCTGCACACGTGAGACAGGCACGCATCAACAGCCCCAGCGTTTCAATTTAAACAATCGTCTGCCACTACGAGTGACTCAGAAATAGGGAAACGCCATCCATTTGATAGCATTTTTTATTTATATACATATAAAAGGCAATGTTTCGCCAAATGCACCTTTGCCATGGCAAAGAGAAAGGCCATTGCCAAAAAGTCTCTGATTATAATTGCCTTGAGAGCAGTGTTTTAGACGAATGTGTCAAGTTTCTGTGAATTGTGTGTGTGTACGTGTGAGTGGCAGAATCACGCGCGCACACTACACAGGTCCGGGCGAGCCGGCACAGTGACGGAAACGAGCCACTTTTTTCTCCAAACAGGAACACATGGAGTGCGTGACAAAGCCAGGAACGCTCTCGCCCGTACCTTCGAGGAGCGGCACTGGTTCATGAGGTCGATGTACTGATTCCTCCCAATGCCGAGCAGTCGCAAACCTGGAGGACCAAACAAGCGGCGATCCTTCACTGAACACGGTAGGACCAATACCTCAGATCTGAAACACGGTAGGACCAATACCTCAGCCGTGGCTGATCATTATTTTAACACTGTGGGCACACACGAAATTGATTTTGCCAAGACGAAGGTACTCTGCAAACCCACTGACTATCAGCAAAGATCCATCCATGAAGCCATCCAGATATATAAACACAGACACAATTTCAAACGAGAAGATGGGTACAAACTGAGCAATCATTGTAAGGACGTTATTAACCAGTTTGGGTCAAAACTGGCTGGGTTGTTCCCTTCCTACCAACATATGTTAGCAGTTACTTTCGACTCTCTGAGTGACATTCACTAACACAGCCACCGTTAGCTGTGTTAGTACATGGCGGGCTTGCCATCCTTTTCCACCTCCATGTGGCGATGTTCCTTTCCAAGTTCTCTCATTGTTACATTTACAAGCAAATTTCTCACATTGACATGTTAATCCCTCACAATACAATGGCCACCCCCACAGCGGCTTGCCATCCTTTTCCACCTCCATGTGAAGATGTTCCTTTCCGAGCTCTCTCTAGCTTACATTTATCAGCACATTCCTTACATTGACATGCCAATCTCTCACAATACAATGGCCACCCCCACATTTATATGCAAATTTCATCTCTAGCCCAACCCACTGACCCTTGGGCTACATCCATCTCAAACCTTTATAACTCCCTGCCTTAGCAGCACTCCCGCCAGATTTTTTTTCCTGCTTCAGCAGCTCTCACCTGATGACGATTGCTTGTTGCGATGGGAACATCGTGATATTGTGATTATTTATCTATCTACGTGGCTTTACCGAAAGACCCAAAGAATAAGACATGGTAAATTGCTCATTTGTATCTACATTGCATTACAGTAATTTTTTCCCCATTTGTGTTTTGCTCATTTCTGTCTGCATACTTTTAAAACATAAACACTACTCTGAAGCATGGGGGAGTGGCGGGACTGTGGTTAGCACAGGGGAATATGAACCTCGCAACCTGAGCTTGATTCTCAGCCATGGCTAACGCCAGCGGCGAGTGATATTTGACCGGGTCCTGGGTCGTACCAATACCAACCAACTTTGACCAGTGGGGTGGAGTACAGTAAAACAAACCATTAACTAATTTGGTGGGGACGGAGCTTCATCCAGAAGTGTATTGACAAAAGGCTAAACATTATCATTATTATTAATGTAGCGTCAATAACGGATTCCCAGCCACGGCTAACATCAGTGACGAGTAATCTGATCAGGCCCTCGCCCCCCTCCCCCCCCCCACGACCTCTCACACGTCACTAACCCACGCTCCTCATCTTCACTATCCTTGACACCTTCACCAAACTGACACTGGCCAGTGTGGTGAAGTATAGTCAAACAATGCAATGACCGAAATGGTAGAAGTTGAGGCCGTATCCTCAACGAAGAATTCACAACGGGATGTGATAATTATCATCATCATCATTCATGATAATGAATGTGGTGGATTGCTTAGTCCTATTAACTTTAATCTTTTTATAATCTCCTTGAGTAACCAGCAGAATGTTTTAAACAACACAGTAACCGTGTGTTTTATTCTGGGACGCCATGGTGGCGAGATGTTAACTACCTCGCCTGGTATACAAGGAGGTTGTGGGTTCGATGCTGACCCAGACGCCTGTATATTTCGAGTTTGCATGTTTTCCCCGTGGTGCCATGAATTTTTCTCTGGGTCCCCCGGTATTTCCTCCACATTTAGAAACATGCATTTTTAGTATTTGTCTGCAATAAATTCCCACATATTAAGCCACTTCACTGAGCTACCATTTTTGGCCAGGTTGCTTCTGAAAAAGAGATAAATAGCACAGTGGGTCTTACCTGGTAAAACATTAATATATTAACTGCGAGAACAAGTTTAAATACTACAAGATTGAATTACAGTCCTCATAACAAAAGCATAAACAAACTCGATAAAGTAAGTTTCTGCAACCCAAGCTAAGAGCACAAATTGTAAACAACCGCATTGGCCTTTTCCCTACTTTTAGCACTTACAGTCAGCTGCAGTAAAGTTGGGCAAGGAGTCATAACTTCTCTCATTTGACATGATGTCCTGTGAAAACCAAAACACGTGAAATCAATTAATTAGGAAACGCACGCAACAATTTTTTTAACAGTGAGAACTTGCTACGAAAAAAAAGACTCAGAGCTGAAAAGTACGCGAGGCTGTGCTTGCGGTCGTGAAAATTAAACGGTCCCCAATTGTGATGCATTTAGATTTTGGCTGCCGCGCAGTCGGGCATCTAGTTGCAAGATGGCGGTCCATTCCCGAGGTTCTAGTTTCTAACGGGGCCGCTGCCTTGAACCAGTCTCGATACGTTTACACATTGCATGAATCGTGCAATTAAAATAGCTGCTGTTCTGTCAACGCAACGCATTCGTCAATAACGCCGCCATAAAAGAGAGGGAAAAGAACAGGGTACACAAAGTCAATGTGTTGAAAAACAGAATGTGCTTCTACATCACTGCCAACGCACCGTCAAAAAAAATATGCGTTTAACCGTCAGTAAGTAGCACTCTAATATAAAAATTGCACTATGTAAAATATAAATATATAAGCTGAGATGACTGATTTTATTGTGCTTTGTATAGCAACCTTTTCATTTACACACGTCTTTTTTTTCAGTAGATTTGAAGAGATGGTAAAAAAAACAAAGACTGGTTTAAAGATACATTGTGTAGTTACAATTACACCTTGTGATAGAAGATGAGTTAGAACCTGTGAGGGATTGGGGGGTACACTACAAGATGACATGTAAGTATATAAAACACGGGGTCAATATCCACCATTCATTCTGCACGTAGACAGGCAAATTGAAGGTTTAAACATTATTCAATAGGGTACAAAGTGCTTGCATCACATGTGTCCTTGTGACAGCCCTACATAACATTAAAATGTACCCGACATCCAATAGAGGCACTCGGAGAAAGGGGCTTGTGCCAATTCAAGTGACCTGAAAAGCGAGGATCAAAGCTTTACATGTAAGGCTCACGCCATAGGAGTGAGCAAGGAGGGTATGCATGCAGGTGTATGACAGAGTAAGGCTTGTGTTGGCACCAATATAATAGAACTCCCATGGGCCTCCGTGTCAAACATGTATACGTTACAGATTGAATAAACTCTGATGGCTCATGATTCGATTGAAAATTTATTCTCTTTTTATTGCTCTTATTTGAACGTCTCATATTTCGTATCTCATGTGGTCTGTCTTGTCTGTTCAATTGCCATACAGTTGCATTGGAAAATAATCTGCCATCATGGTACACAATATATTTTGACATTCATTATTGGATGCATGTGTTGTGTCAAAATTTATTGCATGCCGTGAATCACTCTTCAATAAGCTGAAGCAAGTACATCACCCTGTGATGACAGCTGATAATCGTATGTATGTTGAACTCTTTATCACCGTACCTAGCCAACTGTGCTAATCGAAGGTGTGACAGGCCAACTTTGTGTGTGTGAACAAGGCGGAAGTTGGGCAACTACCTCCATCATGCTGCAGTAGTAGGCGAAAGGGGTGATGCGGAGTCCCTTGACCATAATGTCTGACAGGTGGTAGGGATAGAGCATGAGGTGCTCCCGGCTGTAGCGCAGGAGGTCCTCATAGTAGCGTCGCTCATCTTTCTTTATGTGCCTCACTGGAAACAAAAGAGGGCGTTCGCGTTATTATTCAAAGGTCAATTCATTTGCGTGTGTGGGACCCAATCAGAGGTCTCCATCGCAGTCTGAGTCATCACACTGTGTGGCTGTTAAAATGTATTCACGCCACTTGCTGCAGAGGTTCTTGGTTGGAATGCGGTAGGGTGCCCTGGTTTAATACTGTGGGTGTAGTTACCGCAAAACAAATGGGCGGTATGCTTCACAAGTGGACATTCAAGATGCTGCGAGGTCATTCGAAGTGTCGTCCATTGAGTGTCGGCATCACAGTCCAAATTAGAAAAAATATTGGCAAATTACTTTATTCAGAAACACGTCGACCCCTACTCTGACATGTATAGCAGGACCCTCCTGAAACAAATATTGAGACTCAGTAAGCCTTTCCAGAGTAAACAAATATAATAAAAGCAATTCAATGGAAATATTTTACCACAACGAAACAGCAGTGGGACCAGTTGCGAAGCTTTACTGGGAATGACAAATCATAATAAAATTTAAAAAAGCCTACGACTTCCCTACACTACCCGCTAATTAAGTACACAATGCACAAGCTCTTACCGGAATTGATTCACTTCGCCAATGTATTTGAGAAATCTCTGTATGTAAAAAGTAAAACACTCACAAATATATACTTCGGGGCAGCGTTTAGAATGGCGCTGTTGTTTTGCCCCTGGGCGTTACGATTGCCACAGCAAAAAGAAATGAACAACCCCGCGGTGTGGGCGCAATGCTGTACCCAGACTGCTTCGGTACCGAAGTTGGTTTCTGACGCTGTAATTAACAACCAGTCGCTCGTACTCGCGCTGAGAGTTTCCCAGGCTCTGCAATGACAAGCAAAACACCGTCCATCAACAACGCCGGCTGCAAACACTCACTGCAGGAACCACTCTATAAATCATCAGCACATAAAGAACCATCATTCCATACCCAATGAATTATTGAATACACTGTACGTCACAAACATTCAATCAATTTATAACTCAGCTTACATAAAAAAAAATGCATTAATAACTCTTCTTATTTCACGGGCCTACATGCTTTGGGGTTTAAACACAGATTAATAAATAGGTAACCTTCTTCATGAGAATAACGTTTTTTTTAATTTCCAAAATGAAATTGTTCTCTCGGTAATCATGAAGTGGAATCCATGTAGAACTCTCGCAGATCAAGGCATCATCATCACCCTGTGCTAACAGTGGCCTGCAGAAGGTGACATCACAAAACGACTTTGGAAATCCCTTAAAAGTGCCCCGCATTTACACTTGGAGCCAGATACTGCCCCACGCACTACGCTACGGAGATGTTTGTGGCATGGTAGTCAAGCTGAAATGTTATTTTTTTCTTACAGCTGGAATGTTTGCCAAACTACGTGCATCACCAACCAAACGTAATGGTATGTGATCGGAAATGTTTTGGGTAATAGTCCTTCTGTATAGCATATTAAGGGGTCATTGACCACGTCACCGATTCTATATTTACCATTTAAGGTCACAACGTCATTGACGAATGGGTTTACATTTTCCGTGATAATTGTGCACCAGTGCCAATGCAGCAGCAGCATCACCACCAAAAAACTTGTCACATTTAATGCCGAGTTTTTTTCAGCAGTCATTGGTGAGACCAGGGTGAATGCAGTCAATTCAAAGATATTTTACATAGCATCCAGATGCAACAATATCTCAAAGTGGGACAAATATTGTGATAAACCAGTTAAGGAAATAACGGGTAGCAAGTGTTTGAATAAAGTTGAAATATGAAATATTGAGACAGAGAGTGGTAACGGGGTTACTGCAACATAACAATAACACACAAGCTAAGACAAAAACATTATATCCACAATATACGGAATACACCTTTTTGGATATTGTAATTTTATCTTTGGCTCTCAAATTGTCACTTACATTATAAGTTCTACAGTGTAATCATAAAGGCAGAGGAGGGCAGGTAGACCTTTAAATCCCACAAATGTGGTAGAGATGTCAGTAACTTGTTTTCTTCACAAGTATTCCTGGGCATGGAACGCGTCTGAGATGATTGTGATGATGATGATAGTGATCAGCCGAGGAGATGGAGCGATTAAGTGAGTTCGGGTGGTACTGAGTTATTGCACTGCACGATGATGAGTTGGTGCCTGCATGGAAATGTCTTCATCTAGCAGTGGATATACCACGTATGATGATGATGATATCTAATCAAGCGTTATCTTGAATGCACATTGAACATCTTGGGGGGGGTGGGGTATGGATAGACATGTACAGCCCTTCTCACTCCACTGCTGGACGAAGACCAAGCCGTGCGTTGAAGGTAATTGTTTGACCATAGCTTGCACAGTGACGATTATCTGAACCGGTCCTGGACCTCCCCTAGGTCGACTCGGCCTCAAATGAGTACCTGGTGCGGTGTGTAAACATCGCCACTGGGGAGACAAAGGCGGCCGGGCGTGGTGCTGGCCACACACCCACTCGTGTGCAGTACCGACCTTCATAGGTGCTGCTCGCTTACAGCACTTGCCCCTACAGTCTGTTAAGGCTACACGGGGGCTCTTTGCCTTGCATAGTACTGTACAGTAGTACGACGAATGGATGTCACTGTAGCACTGCTGACAGCAGCAATAGCAAAGCGCAGCCTATAGCACCTGTGAAGCACATTGCTTGGTGGTCACACACAGGCTTAGAGAAGAAACAAAACAACCCTGATCAGCTTGCGAGATCTCTCTAATGAGTAATCAACCATCGCTGGTGGATGCATTATACTTTTTCCTATGGGAACGTAATATTGTTGTTGTACATTATACGGAAGCGCACACACACACTCGTTAAGAGAGATATATATGAATAAAATCGGCTTAAAATATACAGAACTGAGAGGGACGAGGCCTTGGGGGTACCGGGGGCCACCCCACCAAACCTCTCTCACCTGTCTCACGTTCACGGGCAGCTTCGCCCACGCGTAATTCTGTCGGATGTGAAACTCGGCGTCGATATTCATGTCGGCTTCTGACTGACGCGGCGAGAAAGTTATTCGGTTTTATTAAAAAGAAGGAAAAAAAAACAACCCCACCCACTCCCACTTCCCTCCGCCTACAACAATATCGACGAGGAAGCTGGATCTGAAATTAATAAAAACAACAACAACAACACGGAACCAGCACCAGAGGTGGCGGCCACTGCTGCTACAGGCCTCATCCCTTCACAGAAGCACCCGCATGATACATTGGCCCCATCGATTACAATACGTACAGCGCATACGCGCGTCGAGGTGTCTGATTGGCTGTGGCGAGCGCGAGGGCGGGCGCGTGCGGGGGGGGGGGCGCGTGCTGGAGCGGGTGGGGGGCGGGAGGGGGGGGGCCGTGTGGGCGTGGTCAAGCGCTTCAAGGCCGCATCCCGCGCGCCCGTTGGTCAGGAGGCGGAAAGGCCGCCAGCCAATGGTGAGCGGTCGCGCACGCATCGCATGTGCTTATGCGCGCTAGGAAATGTAGCGTGGCCCCCCCCCCGCCCCCCCGCCCCCTCGCCCACCCCGCCCCCGCCCCTCGCTGTCACCAACGCTTCCGGGTGGGTGGCAAGCAACGTGCGCGTCATAGCAAGCAAGCGATGAATTAACATACACTATCGATTAATTGCGTATTATTGGTTCTTAAGGTAAAGTCACGTAGAAGGGAAATAATAAAAATAAAACTATTAAATTCTCACGACGTTTCGATTGCAACACAAGCAATCATCATCAGGTGTGAAAATTTGAAAAAAACACCACTTTTTTCAAATTTTCTTGCTGTGGTTTTCACACCTGATGATGATTGCTTGTGTTGCAATCGAAACGTGAGAATTTTATTGTTTTATTTTATTATTTCCCTTCTACGTGACTTTACCGAAAAAACCAAGAATATGAATCCCTGCAGTCACGAAAGCTTTAAATCGAAAGATTAATTGCCGATTAAATAATGATATTTTTTTTAAAAACACGTTTTTTGGGGTTAGATCGCGTTAAATTTAAACCTGTCAACCCCCTGTCAGTGCCCTACTTTATTACAGACCAATTCAGACATTATTGGTCACCCCGCGCCCTTATACATCTCAACATTCATTCTACAAAGCCCCATCACAAAGGAAGAAACACAAAGACAAAACAAGTTTTGCCCGTATTGAAACGGCTGTACGCCATTTGGATCTGAAACATCAATTTCCCTGTACAAGACTACGGGTATACCGTGTGGGTTGACAGGTAAATAAACATGAATGTGTCGTTAAACCCGCCACCACCCGCCACAGACAATTGGCAAAGGTTTGTCACGTAATCAGCACCACCGGTTGTGTGTTGGGAGAGTAAACCCACAACGTTTATATTTCAAATACGACGTTTCGCTGGTGATTACAACCAACTTCATCAGGCGATCGTTCGCGCAGGGTTTTTTTTTGCTTGCCTAGGGGACCCCGCGTTGGCAGCTGTCCCTGTGCGGCAGAAGGTGAACAAAGCAGCGGCTTGCACGTGGGCCTAGGACTGCCGGAAGGGGGGGGGGGGGTATTATTCTAGTTAAGTGATTTAATATTTTTTTTATAATTTTTTTTATTTAATCATATTCAACCTGTAACGCAGCGCACAGTATTCATTCACTCTCGTGGAGAGATGACGACTCAGATGAGCGTGGAAGGCAGCAGCAGCCACCGCAGTGAGCACATGACAACGATTGCCCACGTTCTGCCGTCCTCAATATGTGAAGGTGTTATTGGCCAATTCATGGGTGGCTTACAAGTGGCAACACTCCATCCCCGTACAGATGGAAACAGATGGCGAACAGTCCACATGCACTACTGCCTTCCCCTGGCGAGCCAGGGCATATCAACGTCGCTGTGTGTACCAAGCGCGGTGTGACATCAACACTGGGAAGACAAAGGCGGCCGGGCGTGGTCCTGGTCTCACCACCCTATCATATTGATAGGTACTTGCACTTAAGTCAACAAATGATGTCACGCGATTTTGGACGATTTTTGACCCCCCCCCCCCTCATCACACGGCGTCACAAAAAGTCAGACCCCCCCCCCCCCTCAAATATGACGTCACAAAGCTTTCCCCCCCCCCCCCGCCCAAACAACATGCTTCAAATCGCTTTCAACTATTGTCATTGTAGCGCGTATTTAATGTGGCGCTGCACTCTGATGTTGTAGGAGTAAAACATTTATGAAAAAGTCTATTTAATTAAGTAGAACGTGTTGTCTACATGTATTTAAAGTTGCGCATTTTGATCTGACGTCACATTTCTCAAACCCCCCACCCCCGTCCCATATCGTCACAAATGTCTGTCCCCCCCCCCGCCTAGGTGCGTGACGTCATTTATGGACGGCCCCTCATATCAATGGTACGGCATGGCTGTGTTTGTTCAAACGCAAACTACTTGTCAGTCGCACACAAAAGAAAAAGGTCCCCCGTATAGCCTCCACACGCTGTCGGGTCAAGGTGCTGTTAGCGAGCGCCCAATGAATGAGCCAACAGCACACAAGTGGAATAGTTTGTTTGGCCAGAACCACGTACTGGACTCATTTAAGGCTGAGTCGACTTAGGGGAGCGCCACAATCGGTTCAGATAATCACCGCTAATATTTAAACTCAACAGATTGGTCAATAAAACTGCCCAAAAGAGAAAGAAGAAAAAACTTGGTAATATATCGGGTATTTGCCCTTCATAAAATATCTATGAATCAGGGCCATTAACCGAAACGTCGATTATATATTTACCTTCCTTCACGGCAGTGCCATGAACGAACGTGTTGAGATGTGTGTTCCTTGCGATTGTGCCTTAGCCGTGATAGGGAATAAAAACATTTCTGGACATCTGTAAAACTACCGGACATCTTTCGATTTAAAGCTTTCGTGACTACAGGGATTCATCTTTTTGGTTATTTTGGTAAAGTCACGTAGAAGGGAAATAATAAAATAATAAAAAGAAAACATTATACGTTTTATTTTTATTATTTATAAATAAAACATAATATGTTTTATTTTTATTATTTATAAATAAAACATAATGTTTTATTTTTATTATTTTATTATTTCCCTTCTACGTGACTTTACCGAAAGAACCAAAAAGATGAATACCGGACATCTGTGAAAAAGAGCTTCATAGCTCATCGGATTCCTCCTCCAGTATAAATAAATATTCGGATTCTCAAATACAGGACTGTACCACTACAAAGCTCCCCCATGTAGCCTTCAACGGGCTGTTGGGGCAAGTGCTGTTAGCGAGCGCCTCGATATCAAAGCCCGCACAGCGCACCTCTGAGGCAGTGGTGTGGTCAGAACCACCACGCCAGGCAAATCTCCCCAGTGCTGATGTTTACTACACACCGCACCAGGTACTCATTTGAGGCCGAGTCGATCTAGGGGGAGGCCGATTAACCGGTTCAGATAATCGCCACCGGTGTTGGCCGTGTGCGGGAATCCAACTCAGGTTTCGCTGGGGTCGTAGGGCAGCCGTAGCGCTAACCGCCAACCCACCGCTCCTACACACAGCCCCCTGTGTCTCTCACACAACACAAAACAAACAAGGATCCATACTCTTTGGTTCTTTCGGTAAAGGTGAATTCACGTAGGTGATTTTTTTTTAGTTATTTTCATTTTGTTTGTATTATTTTATTATTTATTCTTTTCGCCTACGTGACTTTACCAAAAGAACCAAAGAATACACAACACAAACACCACAACGTTTGCACTGCCACGGATCGGCAACGCCCTTCTGCTGCTGCTCGTGCCTGGGTTTTATCGACCGCCGATTTAAGCACCGCCCCGCCTCGGAGGGCAAGGAGACTCGAGGTGCACAAGCCGGCAGCCACACAATCTGCCAACAGAGATCTGGTGGGTCTCAGCGCGACACCCTCTCTTGAGCATCAAACCATGGGCAACATGCAGGTGAGTTCGGCAAGCCCTCCGTCGTAGTTAGTATCACTGCCAACGCCATTCGACGTGTGGCCAACATGATGGGGACGTTAAATCCGCACGCGCGCGCGTAATGTGATAACTGGGGAATATTCGTCAATACCACTGCCATAGAGAGGGAAAATAAATGTAACAGGCGACCGTTTGGACCAAATGGGTCGTATTCATAGCAGTCAGATAAAAAAATCCACATTAAATCAGTAATGCGAACAATCTCAAGCCTTTGTCAATCCACTGCTGGATGAAAACCTGGCCACCCGTCCGTCTCATGTCGTATCGGTCGTAAGGGTCGTTTGACCATACTTCACCACGCTGGTCATTGCGGGTTGGTGAAGCATTTACTTAAGCAATGGACTTTTATTGCAGGGTGTTAGGGGTAACAGGTTGCATGTTATGTAATGTGCAGTGACGGTGTATGATGGTCTGAGTGTATCATTATGGCAGAGGTGCAGTTGCAGATGTATACGTATGGAGTTTACGCAGTACATACAAATGTTAAAGGTCAAAGGCGCAGCCCTGCAATTGTTTGATCAAGCGACACTGCTGTTGGAAGGGCCTCCACTGGAGCGAGCTCTAGATTGCCTCTATGCACTAATGAATAATGCCTGTTGCAATGAAGACATCAGTTTGGAAATTTGTGTTACTTCCTCGTATATTTGGGTTTTCTCCAGGGTTTTCCTCCAGTTTCTTCCCACAATAATCTAAACACTCATTCGTGGAATGGGCCAAACATCCACATTGAAGAAAATAAAAAAAATCAGTCTTTAGCTGTGCGCCTGTGCTTTACTTCATACGGAACTGTCCGGAACACGGTTCAGGGAATAATGTTGACATCCAGTCACATACATCTCACCTTATTTTATTCTCATTCTACCCTACATTCCTATTAACCTGTTCATAGGATTATAGGGATGTTTTGGTTTTTTTAGAATAATATAGGATCATGGATAGGTGTATCTTGTGGCTCTCTCGTGGTAGTGCCTTACGTTGATCAACCCTACTCCAAGACGCCCTGGCAACGTTCCGGGAAAGAAAAAATATCGAGTGAGAAATCAGGCTCTTATCTGGTTTTTTTGCGGCTCAGTTAGGCTTTCCTGGGTCAAGGAAGGGAAATTATTAAATGTATTCCCTGCAGCAGTCGGCGCGGGAGGCAGAGGAGAGGGAGATGACATCATCCCACTGTACTATCCATTACTTGTAGGGCGTATGAAGGAGCATTGCGTATGGGTTTGCAGCTACACGCGAATGGAAAATGCTGATTG